CCAGGGGACTGGGGAGATTTTACAATGGCTCCCTTATTAATTTTACCCCCTCCTGTTTTTGTGTGTTTTTACTGTTTTTTATATATAGTTTTTTATGTACTTATTTTTTTTAATTGTTGTACACCGCTCATAGTTACCTTGTGTGAGATGGGTGGCTATATAAATATGATAAATAGTAATAATAATACTCATGGTTGGCATATAACACTGGAAGGCTACAGTTTATTCAAAAGGAACAAACTCAAGATAAGGGTAGAATGTTGCCTGTATATAAAAAAAAACTTGCAGAAATTTAGGAATGAGAGAATGGAAATCATGTTGGAAGTGTTTGGGTAAGAAGAAAAAGAAAAAGAAACAAAAATGATACCATCATGGGAGTTTATTATAGATTTCATGGACAGGCATGGAAGAGGTCTTTCTGCATCAGGACCAGTCTTTCAGACAGGCATGCAATCGTGATAAATGGAAGTTTTCAGTTATCTTGACATCTCCTGGGAATCTGACTCTATCAAGAATTGCAAGTCCAACAGATTCTTTCTGCAATTATTGACAATTTCATTTGTCAGAAGATGGAAGAAAGAACAAGGAGGTCTGCTGACCTGGAGCTAAACCTCAAAAAGGGGAAGAACTGGTTGAAAAATGAAACTGACTACTATCTTAGAGGAAAAGTATCATGTTAATCATGAATTCATTAGAGGAGGAGGAAGAGAAAGGTCAGACCTGCATATTGGACTTCAGAAGAGTGGATTTTGATTAACACCAAAGAAAAGTAGGTTGGATCCAATACCAAATCCAGTCCTGAAAGGACACCAAGCCCTTGTATATTAGGAGCACATTTAAGACCTGATAAGCAAGTCAGAAATCGCTGACTAAGCCTTACACAGGAAGAGGGCTTTGCAGAAGTTAGGTCTCTAGTGTCTTTTGCAGCCTAAACCAGAATGACCTGGATGGCAGTGCCCAGTGATGGGGAACTTACCATAGCCTAAAGTGGTCAATATGAGCTGGGCAGATTGTAACCCCTGACCATATCATCAACCATATTGTCAGTGAAGTGTGCTAGATTGTGTCCATCACACAAATTTTGTCAGGAGAAAAGGGGAAAACATTACTTTAAAACTGGAACAGCTAAAGATGACTCTAACTTGCCTCAACTGTAGGATATGGATGAAACAAAGGCAACATTCTTATGCTGTGACGTACCAAAAATGGTTTCCAGGCCATATTTGTAGTGTGGTTAGGAGAGCACGAGGATGAGCCTGTGATGCCATGTATATGCTGGGGAGACAAATATACCCAGTACCCATTTAATCTTATAGAGGTGTTATGGAAGAAACTAATCTCTGAATATTGGCATTGATTTCAATAATTAATAGTAAGAATACAAAAACATATTTATTTATTTATTCGATTTCTATAGCTTTGCTTTGCATTTGTTCCATCTATAAGCATTCATCTTCCACATGATTATTAGAGAAACTTCATATATTCAGAGCCTTTCAAACTTCCAAGAGGCCCCAGGGCAAAATGTTAAATGGCATACTTTTCTCATTGTGTCCTTCCTTTGATCTCCTTCACACAGCATACAAAGTTGTGGTTTGATTAACCATGTTTTCTGTGTGAATCACAATCATTTCTGAGTTTATATAACATACAGTTTATCTGCACAACTTAGCCAAAAACAGACAAACAAGGTTATGGATAACATTATGAAAGAACTTAAATGTATTCACTCTAGGTTTCTTTTTCTTCCATTGTTATTGTTTCCTTGAAATCAATGGCTCAATAAATGGGAATTCAGGAAGAGAAGAGATCTAAAATATTGACATTACTTTTGTGATTATTTTTACTTGATTAGTTTTCTTTCCTTGAATGAAAAGTATCAACTCCTCTGCTCATTTCAAATACTGAATCTTATTTTGGAAAGGACTCCATTTATATGTGGCTTCTGAAAGTTCTGCCTATACTTTTCAGAGGCAAATATTGAATTCAAAGGGCCTTACTCTTAGGAAATTATGTATGGGATCGTAGTCTCTTAGCATAATCCTTTACGTACTTAAGCAGTTTACTCTTAGGTGCATGTGAATGTGTCAACAGCCTAAATCTCTTTTCTTCTTTCCTTTTGGCTGCTGTGTTGCCCTTACCGTCACAATTTTCCCAATACCATTCCCTTTTGAAAACAACAATAACGAATACCAACAAGCCAAAAAAACTGCTTTAAAAAATTGAGTTGCATTGCACGAATGTCATATCTCATCCTCCCAGAAATACGGGCATAACAGTGGGATATTTTCCAGGGTTGATATAACTCATGCTCAACTATCATGACACTCCTCTTTCCACACATGGTGGACAATAGATATTTGTAGAACAAATTTGGGGCTACAGGAACTTTAGTCCAATGCTAGTTTACAACTATGTTTAGCTAAGGTATGTGGAAGCAGATAACAAATGAGGTCAGTGACTAGCATCTGCTTTTTGACCCTGACATGCTAACTTGGGTGAGGTGAATTCTTTTGTATTAATCTGTGTGTTTAAAAGTTCAGCTTTGTCTTATCAGTGAAGTGTATGAACATGAGATATTTCTGCTGCAATAAAAATAGCATTATCAACTGAACTTGCGGTGTTCAGTATACATGGAGCATAAATATGTATGTAGTTATTCATGCCATTTCATGTAAGACATAGTGTGAAATAGTACTTTAGTCCATTTTGCAATTCTTGATTCATGATTTTATTTGATTTTCACTTTTCTCCCACTTTGGGATTCTTGTTCCTGTTTAATGAATTCAATATTCCAAATTGATGTCTTCTAGTCACTGTTCCATTCATGTGCTTGAATATTATTGTTACTGATTTTTTTTCATAAACAAACACAAGTGCACAATTACTGGAAAGTTTGTATGCGCACAAATTTCTGAAGATGTGCACCAATGTTATGGAAACCATGATGCAAGTATAGGTATGCATCAAGCCTTCAGTAAATGCTGAAATCACAGTACCGGAATAAACTCTCAGGATAGTTTGGGGCAAATAATGATTTTTCATCTGAATATGTAAGTTCTGTGTTCAAGAGTTCATTCCTTAGGCTGCAAAATGTAGCAAAACTCAGAGCATGATGTAAATTCAGTATTTTCTGTACTTTCAGGCTTAAACACAGGTTGCTTCTATGCCCTCTCAACCTTGCTAAATCGTATGGTAATGAAGCATTATCCAGTAAGTAATTTTCTGTGGAGATATCTTCATTCTGATGTAACACTGAAAATATTAGCTCTCTGTGTGGGTGTATTCCTTCCTTCCTCTGGAGCAATCTAATAATTAACTGACAGAGGTGTCTTTATATGTGTCTCAACTATGCCACCCAAAATGGAAGAGAAATGTTTGTAAAGCCAGTTTGGATTCTGATCAGATTAGAACAAGATTCTCTTTAAACATTATGTGACAACTACAGATACTGTCTTTAAAATCAAGCAAGAGAAAAAGAGACAGCAGGCAGGATTTAAACCTTCTCATTCCTGCTGTTATCTTTTGGCTGGCCAGCTTCTCCCTTTTTGATTTCAGATTCTGCTGTTGGATATTTTGTCTTTGAAAAAAGCAAGAACTAAATTTGAAGTCATGAGGTGAAGGCAGATAATACTTGTGTACAAGAAACCCTTGATTTAATGGACTAATGGACTAATGGACTAATGTCCATTAAAGTGGAATGCCTGTTAAACCAGTATTAGATTTTACACATGCAAATTTTGCATACTTTATGTATTTTATGCATTTTACACAGGTGTAAAATAGGAATAGCATTTTGCAAATGCTTATTTTATGTAGGTATTTTACCATTTTAGGCATGCATAGAATGGCAGATGGGATTTTACACATGTTAAGGAACGTATAGTGTATAGACAGATATCCAGTGCAGTTGAAGTCTGCTAAACCAAGACCTGTTAAGTTAAGGGTCTACCATATATGTTCTTTTAAGGAGTTCCCATATTTCACAGTGTGCGCTATTTTTTCCCTTATTTCATCTGTTTAACAATCCTATAAAACACATCAGGTTTGAAGACCATAACTGGGCTGAGAGCATGTTAATGAGCCTCATAGCTGGGATGTAGCTCAGGTCTTGAAGAACTTGGTGTAAGATCATACCTGCTGTGCTGTACTTGGGCCTGTCAGGATTTTCTAGTCAGGTTGAACATTACTGAGAACTCTGGGAGTTGAAGTCCACATATCTGAAGAGTGTTCAAGCTGGGAAAAGCTATGCTATACCACTGTGATAATTTTACCCTGACTTTTTCAGGTCTTTTTTTTTTTTTTTTGTGAAGTAAAAAACCTGATGATGTATGCATGCATGTGTTGCTTCAGGGAGAGGATCTGAATGCTGGCCGAATTGGTCTCACCATTATAGTGTGCGGCATGGTTGGAGCTTTGATCTCTGGCATCTGGTTGGACAGAACCAAAACTTATAAGTAAGTCCTTTGTTGTACCTCTTTCCTCTCTCTGCTTCTTTGGAGAAGAGGTAGGCTTTTTCAATGAGTAGATCAGGGATGTAGTGAAGGAGTAGACAACATTTTCTGGCCTAGGGCTACACTTTATTTTTGTGTCGGTCAACTTGGGGCTACAGGAGATGTGGCTACTGATACTGTGATATCACCAGAGTGAGTGGGGCTCAAATTTTCAGCCCTCTTTTTTCTTTGAGAGGGGATTAAGAAATAAAATGTGTATCTAAAATGTTGGCTTAAGACACCATTTTTTTCTGTCAAAATCCCCAGCATCAAAGGATATAGTTATCTTTTTAATCAAAACCTTTATTTTCTCTACAAGGCTCAAAGAAGCTGTTTTACCCATTAAAATTCCCCAAATTTCCAACATGAGAAAAAATTTCAAAAATTTGGACCGTCTATTTTGGAGTGTACAGATGAGTTACTGGTTGGCCATAAGGAGACTGCAAGTGGCCCATGCCTGGTGCGAGGAAAAATTAGGAAAAATATCACTAATAAGAAAGCCAGTTATCAGGCAATAAGAACTGCTTTTTCTATAAAGCCTTGGCTTATATGGCCTTGATTTCTACTGTTTGTTATGTGGATCATAATTGTAGGGCAGTTGTTTTGGTAAAGATTTTCTGAGAAAATCAGAGAATTTTCTGAAGGGTCGGAGGAATTTTTGCTTACCGTTAATAAAAATATGTTCTTTGTGCATTCATTAAAATTAAAAATTAAAATATTTCCCGTCTATGAAAAGAAATGTAGAGAATTAAAGTAATGGAATGGGGAAAGATACAGTCCACTTTGATCCTCATTTGCTATCAAAGATGCTACTGCAGAAAATATTTTCTTCAAAATGATGGTAAATAAACTTGTGGCACTTAATAGGAGAAATACAGTAAGTGGCAGGAGGTAATGGTACTTAACCTCTCAGACCCCTCTTCATTTCAGACCTGACCTGTGAAGTAGTTAAAAACATATGAAGAAAATAATTTAGATGAGGTAACATTTCAATATACTTTCCAGTCTTCAGATTCCCTTTGTACATGATTCCAACTGCTCCCCAGCTTAGCATAACAAGGGGAGCACAGATTTCAGAGACCATAACTTGTCTTGTCTGTTATCATTGTGGGCTTATAGAAAACCATGCTGTTCTATTTGTAGCTGTTTTGATATGGTTAATTGAGTAATCAATAAAGTTATACTACTGTACTATTTGCAGCTGCTTTGTTTAGTGCTTTTTATGCCCTGGGTTTGAGAAAGTTTCAGTTTTTATTCATGTCATAAGAGTTCAGGTGAATTTTATTAAAAGGTGACGTTAGGAAACTACATCAAAAGCTAGAGAAATACAACTGTTCTTTCTATATCTCCAGGACTACTCCAGATGTGCTGGACAACAAATTGTAGACTCTCCAGCCAGCTGTGGTCATCCTAGTTGAGATTATTGAGAGTGGTAGTCTGACATAGTTGAAGAATGCTGAAGTTGGTGAAAGATTTAACAGAATAATATCTTTGAGAAGTACTTTGCAGTGGCTTTTACTGTGTGAGGGACATCTAAACGCCAGCCTTTGGTTGTGGGGACTCATGGTGGCACATGTTGCTCTCTGCTGGTATAGATTTAAGAAAGTATGAGAAGTACAGAGAACAAAATCAGATCCTTATGGAAATTTTCAGGATAGCTACAGTAAGAAATTACAAAGAAATTGAGATGGTACAATATAAAAGTTGCTAAGAACTAGGAAGAGAAAAACATTTTGGGAGGCTCAGCGTTAACAAAGTATCTTCCCTCAATCCCTTTTTTTAAGGCTCTACTATGCAAATCCCCACAATCCTGTAATACTAGTTTTGTGACTCAATCCAGAATTGTTTAAGTTATGTGGCATTGTGGATTTATTGTCCCTAAAAGGCAGCTATGCTACTATGTGGAAATTAAGGGCATTGTTGCTGTTATAACAGTGGTTATACAGTAGTTACACTGATGCATTAATGTTGCTTGTGTAATGCTTTATTGGGGAGCTTTTTAATCATGGATAAATAGTAAAATGAGCAGCTGAACATAGGGCACATTCACATGTCCCCTTAACTTTACCTTGAGGGGTTTCTTTGACTGTCCACCACTCTAGCAATCTGTCAAAACCCATCTCCTCCCACAGTGCCATCCCCTTAGGGACGGAAAGAAAACATTAAATCAAGTGTCTGGATGAGCCTCTAGAGTATAGAGCAAGACAGAAGAACTTGAGCTGTATTTGTCAGAGAAATATGGGATCATTGGGATTGGTGAGATATGAGTGGGTAAATTGTTAAACGATGGTTATATCCACTGCTCCTTCATGGAAAGGTCCTCTTTGGCTAAGGTTTGACTGGGATCATGTGGGGGGGGGGGCAGGGGGAGGCAAGAGATGAAGAAATAGAATTGAAATGCAGAGGGAGCATTTGCAGGATCATTTCTCTCTTCTGCAAATTTTGTGGCTGGTCTACCTTATGTATGTACAGTACATATGTATGTGATTTATATGACTGCCCTTCCTTTCTTTCTTCTTTGATTTTATGACTGCCCTTCTCAACATAGTGACACGGGACAACTAACCATACATAAAAACATGCCAGGAAAATAATACAAGAGTAAAAAAATAAATTCAATATCTATAACCAAAAGAAACCTAATAATTAAACATATATACATAAAGATACATACATACATAAACTTCGCATGTAACCAAAGTTCCTAAAAAACCATCTGAAAAAAAAAAACCTAACCAACATTACCCGCCAGGTTTAAATAATATCTAGGCCCAGTAAATGAGGGAAAGGCCATGTCTTCAGAGCCTTACTGAAGGCTAACAAGTTTGTCACCATCTAGAAAACCTTGTCTTTATCTGTAGAAAGAAATAGAGCCCTGAGGTATGGGTCGAGTAAAAGATAAAACTTGTTGATGAGTTTAACCTCTGGGAAAAATTTGTTCCTACCATTTTATTGAAGCATGATTTCTGTAAAGTCTTTTGAAAAATTTACCAGTTGATGAAAGCTTGGCACTATTTTATAATGCATACTGCACTTGTTTGAGCAGATTGTACACCCTTAATTTAAGCCTCAAGGGAGATAATTCTGATTCAGAGAAGAACTCTGAATCAGTTGAACTATGTATGCTTCCTGCCTGAGGTGGCTGTTTACTTTACCATATAAATTGTGTACTTACCATTAAATTAAAATTTGTTCCAAAATTGGCTGAAATTAGAATGCAAAAATTAGTCCAGCTTGATTTCTGAGGACTGTGTGGACATATCCTTGTTGTTTTCTTGGCACTAATATGGAGGCTTATTACTGCGTTCTCCTGGGACATTTTTCAGCTTCCCATCAAGTTTATCAATCTGGAATTTCCTAGCGGATTCTCACTGAAGTATTTGCTTTGCTTCTTTGAGATCAGTCAAGATCACCTGCTGTGATGTAAACTTTTAACATCTCTAAAAGTTAACTCAGCTGATTAATATCAACAACACTGTAACTATTGTGAGTTCATTGCAAAACAATAGGGAAATATTGGTGTGCTGAAGAAAATCCTGAAATTTACAGAAACATAAGAATTCTCAAGGAAAGAAAAAGAAATGGGACGATGTTTCCTTTCCTCAATGCCTCAGTAAGCATACTCTGGGCAAAGGCAACATTTTGGGGCTGTTGGAAACACTGAGCTATCACAAAAAGGCTATTCTGGAAGGACTTGCTGACATCAGTCAATTGACATGGTACATGGAAAAAGTCCCGTTTTCCAAAAGACAGAATGGTGAGGGTATTGTTAGCTTTCCAGCTTATATTTTTTTCTGAGCATGCATGCATACTTCTAAACAAAACACTGGGTTAAATCTATTCACCATTTTTATTTACTAAGAATGCCTGTGGGAACTATTGTAAAAAAAAAAAGTAATGCTAGTAGCTGGCATTTTGCTTTACAGCATGTCAGCTTCCCATTTATTTAGAATTTAATGAGAAGACTAAACAAAATAAGGCCAGGTAGAACAAGGAACATGGTGGATGTTCACATTCCAATACAATACAATTATAATTTTGTAAAGAATGAAGAAAACCTCCAGTACTGTGAAGATTAATTTGATTTCTATATTTAATTTCAGTCAGATTACATTTTCATTAAATGATAATAGAGTATAAATAAAAAAGCCATCAGAGTCAGTGACTGGGGTGGCATATAAATCTGCAAACTATATGTATATATGTATGTTTATTGGATGTAAGGCTGGAACAATGACATCCTTCTTCTGGGGTTGGAGGGCTGATAAATTTGAATAAATAAATTCTGAAAGTGTTTTTGTTTGTTACAGACAGACAACACTGTTGGTTTACATCATGTCATTTGTGGGCCTGATTGTTTATACTTTTACCCTGGATCTAGGCCATATCTGGGTGGTCTTCGTGACTGCAGGTGTGCTAGGGTAAGTTCACTTCTCCCCTCTTGGGTTACTTTTCTCTGTGAAAGTGTTTTGCTATTGTCTCTGCCACTGAGATAGTCTCCACTGGCTCTGCAGTATATAAGAAGGGAAGGATAGCTAGTAATGAGTGACGGATCCTCTTTCATTGAGATATACACTGTAGCCCTTGCAGGTTTTCTTCTTTCTGATGAGAATTCTAGGAAATGTAGTCCTCAAGCCTCTGAGAAACAAAGCGTTGAAGGGAAGCAAGCGGTGTTGGGCTTTTAAGACCTGGGAAAAATGAACTTGGAGTAGCATTGTCTCTTTAAAACACCAAGAGCATAACGTTGCATAAGTGCTGAAGCTGAAGTGTTTCCTGCATCTATTCTGACAGCTTTTTCATGACGGGTTACCTACCTCTGGGCTTTGAATTTGCAGCAGAATTAACATATCCAGAATCCGAAGGAACATCATCAGGCCTTCTTAATGTTTCTGCACAGGTTAGTTCAAAAAATGTAGCAAAGAGACATTTCTAGGACTGTTTTGTTGGCCTCATGGGATAAACCAGATAGGAATCACAACCAGATGAGCTAATTCTACTTTATTGTAAAGCTACATTGATAGAACCTTGCAAGTCTGAAGTCTGCGGCATCTCTTGGCCCAGGAATATAGCACCACGTGTTGATAAATCAAACTGTTCCATAATGTTCTGTCATCCAGCATAGTCTCCCTAAACCAGACTACTACTGTTTTCCAAACAAGTTTCTAGGTGACACAAACTTTACTTCTTTTCCTTACAATAATGTAATTAAATATGTGTTATGAATTTTACTAAACATAATTCTATAGCAGTTTTCAAAATACAAAGTATTCTAATAATTCTGACCTCATTTATAGTTAGGCACTAATAGTCACGGGGGCTGAGATAGGGAGTTGACAGTGGTTTTTTTGTTGCTATTAAGAACATGAGAGATAGGCAAAATAATTTAGGATTGGTGAACAACTGTAGCTTTGTTTAATCCTTCTTTTATAACTCTTTTATCTTGTGCTAGGTTTTTGGAATAATTTTTACCATTAGCCAAGGACAGATCATTGATAACTTTGGGACTAAAGCGGGGAACCTCTTCCTTTGCATCTTCCTGTTCATTGGCACTATTATCACTGGTAACTATACTCTTCAAATGTTTTGATACCTATTTCTGCAGAGTTTGTGGGTCACTTTTGTCTATAAACCTAACATAGTCAGCAACTACAGTAGTAGTGAGCTGCTAGTGTGCCTAGAGGAAACAGGCCTCTTCCAAAATTTGCCTGGTTTACAAGGCATCGGATCAGAGGTCAGGAACAAAGTTGATATCCCTTCTGCCATTGCTTAACTGAAAACCTGTTGCCCACAAGGGCTCTAGTTGCAATCCCTTCCGGAAGAAATCACCAGCTAAAGGGCTGAGTGAAGTATATTTCAATGCTTTATCCACTCGTGGTCATATAAGAGGGTTAAAAGAACTCCTGCTTAAGAAGGGATTGCTGTAGGAGATTTGGCAACTGTCTTCTTACTTTGGTCACTGTCACACACACACACGCACATACAGAGTAACACATTCAATTTGAAGTCGCCCTTGAAGAGTAGATGCTGGTGCAAAATATAGATGATAGACTAGCTTCTAGTGCAAACTAGTGTACATTTAGAACATATTATACCATTTCTTTTTCATTTGCAATGCTTCCAGTTCAAAAGTACTAGTTATTATGGACAAATCCTTTAAATAGTTTGTGTAAAAGGTATATGAAAAATCACCTCCCCCTGCTTGAACTTGCTTGTGTACTGTTTTCAGCATCTTGAGACCCTACCTTGAATTCTGGCATCTTTTGTGATGCAATTAGTCAGAATATAAACAGGATTTCTAGGTTTGGGCAGCCATATTCTGAAGCCTCTCCTGGAATGGAGTCACTAGGAATGTGCAAAAACTAATAACATTCTGTTCCTCTGAAGCATACTGATCCAACTGCTGTGGGAGTGCAATTTTGTAGAAGTAATTCCTCTAAACCAGAAGTGGTTCAAATATTAGATTTTATACATCCCTAGGTAATATCCAACATTTTAACACTTATAACTGCAATTAAAACCTTTACTCCACTGTGTTTTTATATGTTTTAACCTACAACGGCAGCATATTTTTAACAGATTCAGGTTTTAATACCTTTTTTATACTTTCATTTTGATGAACTGTTTTGTGTTACCTGCATACTCCTCGAGGGGCAGATCTTAGTTGCCAAAGCTATAACTTTTCTAAATAAATTGAAATCATTATTTATTTCTCCTTCATGATGTCCAATACCAATTCTTTTGTTCTACATACTTCCTTATACTCCTATACGCCTATTCTATGGCCTACCTATTGAGTTTTAAACTCCAAATTGTCTTCCTGTTATGCTTCAGCTTTCATCAAACCCGATCTCCGAAGACAACAGGCCAATCTGGATAATGAACAAACTGTGAGTAAAATAAATATAAACTGTAGTTTATGTCAGCTGTCTCCAGTGATAATGTTGTTTTCATGATGAGTAATTGGGGTATCTCAGGAATATAGGAAGTATACTACTTGAGGAAGTATCTCAGATGTCTCAAATGTGCCAAGTGTGGATTATGAAGTTGAGAGTCGCTCTGTTTGCTCTAACAGTTAGCAGATCATAGCTTGTGTTCAGCTTTCCCTAGTGTCCAGCTATGAGGCCCAAGCAAATGCAGATAACTCTTCAGCGTGATGGCATGCATGCATCCATAACTTGCATACTGATACATATTTCATATAACAAATATATGAAAACATATATGTGAAGGAAGAATAAATGGGTCGGGGGAAGGGGTAGACTAAGGAAATTGCAGTTGGAAGGAGTTCATAAGATTCTTAAAAAGAAAGAACTGAATTTTTTTAGAGGAAAAAGGCAGTGTATAAAGCAGAGTATGGATGTAATGAGACAAGGAAGGCTTGCAAGGATAAAGAATTATGGAGCAGTATAGTGAATGGTATTGGTATAATACGATTTAGCTATATTTCCTTTTATTTTTCTTCTCTCATGTTTTAATTTCTTTGGCTTAGTATTTCTTATTCCTTTTCTGCACTTTACATAATGTTGTTTATCCCAAAAGGGAATGACACAATGGGCATGTATGTATGAAAGCATGGACTTTTTTAGAAGTACAGTCCTGTACTAAAAAAGAGTTACCCACCCCAGGTTTTAATGGACATGGAGATACAGTTGAGGAAAGGCAAGAAGAAAGGAACTGGATGGAAAGGCTATAAAAGCTAAAAAGCAAAGGAGAAAGTAATAAATACTCAAATAAATGATGCCAGATTGAGGTGGAAAGAAGAAGAATGGGAAAAAAGGCATAAATTGGCCATAGCCTCTGTCCCTGGGCTATGAAATTTGGGATGTTAAGCCCATACTTCAGTGATTGAAGAGAGAAGCTTGGTCATGCCTGGATTCCTCAGTTATAACAGTCAGTAAGAAAAATATCTATAGCCAACATTCCCATGGCAATAGTAGCCCTGTTGCCAGCCTACATTCTGCTGTCTCTGCAAATGTATTGATTCATTACTTATTAAGGTCATGGTATTAATCATGATTGGTTGTATATAGCTTTCTTCCCTGACAAGAAAGCTAGCACCTTTAGGAGTAGAAGGCCTTAGGACAACAGCCGTACCATTTTCCAGACACCCCCTCCTCCCATTCCAAGAGGCCTATTAGGCTTAGCAAGACATAGCATAAGAATTAGCCTTTGACTAGACACCTTGAGGGGAAGGAGAGATTCTTGTCTTGAAAGCCAGGGTCCTGAAGCTTTGTAGTGATGTGATAAAGACTTGCAATGTGAATTTATCTGCTGATATTTCCTTCTTTGAAAGAGTGATAAAAAAGGAGTTCCTTAGCCAGAAAAGCCATGTTGCTTTTATAGGAACAGAGGAATTTCAAGAATATTTATTAAGAAAGAATTTGTAGCTATTTCTGAAACAGGTTCTCTTCACTAATTGGCAAAAAAGTATTGTATGTTGTCAGTGACAACTGCTCAGTTCTCCAAAGTCTGTGAGGAAACAAGAAGGGATTGCTTAAATTGAACTACTGCTAGTTCAGTTTAGGATGATAGAGGACTGCAAGTGTTACCAGTCATAAGACACTGTACAGTTTTTGTGCTTTTTCTTTCTGTTTGAAGAAAGAGAGCAGTGGAAAACCCAAGAGTGTTACAAATAGAAAACAGCAACACCTGGATCTCCTGTAAAATTCTGTGAATGAAGTGGGGCACTTGTACAATAAAAACCTTTATTTGGAAACATCTTTAAATGTATTTAGTTAGTGGGTGGCACTCTTCAGATTTTTCTTTCTGTTCCATTCTGGGACTAGTGACCAGCTCTGTTTTAATCTGCTAACCAAGAAAGCATCTCTTCAAATAAAATGTTATTTTGGCATATATATAATTGATAAAAAACTTTAAAGAGAAATGAAAATTATGTTCTATCCTGTACCTAGGTCTTGGAACAGGAAAATATTACCCTTTTTAACTGTTGACCTTTCCTTTGCTTTTGTCTAGCTATGTCCATAATTTAGTAGACTTTTAAGTATAAATTGGTGATTCTTTACACAATGGGCATCACTTCACCTGTCTTCCCTCTTAATGATGTTTACATACACTGACAGCAATTATGCTAAATATTATTGATCCCTGCCAGTTTTAGGATTGTCTATCTTAAGGAAAGGCTATTGTAATCTGGTATGGAAGAGAGGGTAAACATGGATTTTAATTATTCTCTCCAAATAAATTCTTTATTTAAAAAAGGGCAGAAAGTGGCATCTCTTAGTTTTTCTGGTGGCAACTAGGACATTGTTGAAAACAGTCATGCCCCATTTGACAGGGACATAAGTAAGTGTGTGCTGTTGGACTGTGAGAAGGTTTACCCTAGGGTCAGCTATGTCATGCACATAGCTCTTATCTATATTTAGGATAACATTTCAAAAGGGATGATGGAAAATATGTAAGAATAATGGGGGAGATAGGTTACACAAGTCACATGAAAAAGTGAAAAACACATGTATGTTTTGCAGAGGATCTTGCTATGTTCAGTTTGAAAGTATAGTTTTCATACTGAAAATTTCAACCTGTGAGCATTCAGTGCAGTTCTAGTGAGAATGAAATATCTCCATATGAGGGAAGCAAGCTCAGAGGTTGCTGCCTTGGAAAAAGTAGGCTTAGAAAGCCAAAAATCATACCGTACAGTATTTTTAATGATCCATTCTAAGGCTGAATTGTTCTTTAGTTCCATTTTTATCTGGTTATGATAGGACAACTGTAGCTCCCCGCAGCACCATCTTTTTGTTCTGTCTGCCCATCCATGGGATTGTGACATGTGGCTGTTTTACAGAGACTTCAAAGCAGTAACGCTCAGCTAATGAATTATGGACCTAGTACCTTATCCCCATCATTTCCCATCCCTGCTCAATAATTCACAAACCAAAGGTAGGAGAATCATATTAACCTGCTTAGCCAACTGCTTATGTGAGGCTGCAGTAGTACCAACCCAGTGACAGACTCTAGAACAGTTATGGGGAAAGAGTACTAAATGTGGAGCAGTTAAGGTACATCTTGTGAAAATCATATTGACTGTTCACCAGGACTGGTAGAACAAACACTATGTTTTTAGAATGCTTTTTTATGCTTTTAATTCTTATTATGTTTGTACATCACCCAGAGTCACCCATTTTGTGAGATGGGCGGCTATATAAATTTGCTAAATAAACAAACAAATGATAGGAAGAAAAGAAGGGTATGGATTTGTATACAAATAATGTATCCTGAAACATTTTTCCCTTAAGAATTTCTTTCTGGAGTTAACTTTTTTTCATATACAGTACATTAAGAATTCATTTCTCTTTAGTATACACTAATATTCATTACCTGTACATTCTGTTCGCAAAAATGTGGAGGTAAATCGCACATTGATTCTTGAGGTATTTAAGCATATTTAGAGATTTTAAGAGTTGTTGTTTTTATAGGCATTTAATTTATAGTTGCCATTTGTCCTAATTTCACCAGGAAATTTCAGGAAAGCTTTCAACTAGTGGATATTCAATGCAAATGAGATTCATTCAAAATGAGACTTTAGGGAAAGACCTACAGTATATTGAATGGATTTGGCTCCCAACGTAGTCTTAAACAAAGACTACAGACTATGTAGTCTTCCTATCTACAAAGGAAATATTAAATCCTTCGTATAAATCAGCCCCTGGATTGTTTTTTTTTTTTAAACTACTGCAGCTCACAAAGCATTCTAATCCTTTCTTCAAAGAGGCCTTCCTGATTCTGCTTAATACTTTGTACTTCTTGTGCTCTGGATATGCTTAATTTGGTTATATATTCCTCTTCCTCATATTTTGCTTTCCCTGGTCATATGTGTATTGCCATCTTTATTGCTCACCAATCTCAAGTGGCAGTTCCTTACAGCAAGGGGAAGAAATTAAGATGTAAGCCATTGCTAATACTGGCTTGAATTTCAAAGGAGTTAGCCAGAGTGTGGGGGTGGTGATGGAGAATCTTAGCTTGATTAATGTTTATTCTGTTTTTCAGGCTAACTTTAGATTGGTGAGTGGTCAAAACTTGAACTCTCATATATCTTCAGGGTTGTATTTCTTTTGTTGTAGAAGACGTACAGTGAACTTGAGGACATGTGGCATCGGCATTATTTTTAGTGCTGCTTCTTACAAAATAAAGCGTATGAATATGACTACTGTCTCAGGATGCAATCCTCACTAAAAGTCAAGATGTAAAGTTATTTAATAACTCTTGGCTTAATGTTCTCCTAGAATTCTAGTTTTTAAGTAATCATGGTTTCTGTTTTGAAAGTCAATATTTTTGAAGTGTAAAAAAGTATTTTCCCTGCCCTAAAGCTTGATTTTCCATGGTGAGGCCTAGATAGGAATCCCTTTAAGTATTTGCTTCTAGGAATAATAAAATATTGTCTAAAAAGCACTGTATGCCAGCGCCATAGATCAGTGGCTTAATGAGTGCTATTTTTCATGAATAAAGGTGTATATTATTTAGATATACACTTTTCTTTGACATAAAAGAAGCAGAGAGGCTATTCAGCAAAATGAAACCATCTTAAATTATGATATAAGCAAAAAGCATCAATGTGGTTTTAAACCTGCATCTAGTTAGCAAAATTGGGGGCAGCGATGGAGAGCTGGAGAATAGCAGCTCTACCAGAAAGTGGTAGAAAAGCATGTTAGCCTGTCGCCATGAGGTTTTTAGATGGTAGCAGTTTTTTCTGCAGCTATTCAAGCAAAGCTGCCAAATTCCACCATTAGTGTGATAGAGAAATGCAGTAATACCAAGTCCTAATTTGTGAGGCAGAGGGGATGTGTATTTGGTTTCTGCTTAACTAAACATGGATATACAGTGGTACCTCTAGTTACGAACGCCCCTACTTACAAATTTTTCGAGATACGATCAGCTCCGGCCCCAAAAATTTACCTTGACTTGCAAACTCGCCTCGACTTACAAACCAGATCCGCGGCCATTTTCCACCCGTTCCACATGGTCTGCGGCCATTTTCTGCCCGTTCCACATGGTCTGCGGCCATTTTCCGCCCGTTCCATGTGGTCCGTGGCCATTTTCCGCCCATGCCACGTGGTCTGCGGCCATTTTCCCACCCGTGCCACGTGGTCCGCAGCCATTTCCCACCCATGCCACGTGGTCCACGGCCATTTCCCCACCCATGCCACGTGGTCCGCGCCCATTTTCCCGCCCGGTCCACGTGGTCCGTGGCCATTTTCCCACCCATGCCACGTGGTCCGCGGCCATTTTCCCGCCCATTCCACGTGGTCTGTGGCCATTTTTACACCCCTGACACATGGTCCGTGCCCATTTTCCCCTCATGCCACGTGGTCCACGGCCATTTTCCCACCCGTTCCATGTGGTCCGTGGCCGTTTTTCCGCCCTGCCGTGTGGTCCGTGGCCATTTTCCGCCCCTGACACGTCTGTGGCCATTTTTCCACCCATGCCACGTGGTCCGCGGCCATTTCCCCCCATGCCACGTGGTCCGTGGCCCTTTTCCCACCCGTTCCACGTGGTCTGCGGCCATTTTTCCGCCCTGCTGCCTGGTCCGCTGCCGTTTTTCCGCCCCTGACGCGTGGTCCGCGGACGCCGGAATGGATAAACGGTAATTACATTGAACCTTATGGGAAAATTTGCCTCGTGTTGCGACCAATTCGAGTTACAACCAGAGTCATGGAATGGATTAAATTCGTAACTCGAGGTTCCACTGTAGCTCTCTCATCTATAAATCTCACCAATTTCTGTATTTTGTATCACTTTAGCTAGAGGTGATAGGCAGCAAAGCAGCAGCTGAATCCCTGCATTCTTATTTGAGAGAAAGCCCATGATTTAGTGGAATTATTGACTAAATCTGTATGGTAAATGGTATGATAGCCTTAATTCAGTGTGAAAGTGAGCTGCTTATTCACTATACTCTCTGATCTCTCTAATTGTGCATCTTTTCTCTTTGAGTTCCAGAAATCAGTGGGAGTTGACTCAGACCAACACTGCACTGCTGTATGAGGAATCAGTTCATCAAAGGCTGTAAGCAGCTGAAAAGCTATTACTGTTCCTGCTACCACTGCCTTATGTTCTTATTTCTACTATCTCTACCTCCCATTACATATGGTTTGGCTTGAAAACAATCCACAAAATAGTTCATGTTGCTAATGAGAAATACAAAGATTTTGAATTATTCTCAGCTGAACAAGCTTTTCTGTCCTGTTGACTGGCAGATAATAGAAGACAGCAGTTGACTTGCCTTGGCACTTATAAACCACATGACTGGATCTAGTGTTGCTTCCATCATATTCAGCATGGACTAAGAAAGTTCATCCTTTTTGTGTGGCAGTAGACTTGCAGGTTTGGGCATGAAATGGATCTAAAGGAAGACCCTTGCTCCTTAGGGAGAACCAGAAACACTTGCTCTGTGAGCAGCCTGAATGGAAGTGCAACCATTGATTTGTGAATGAGGAAATTCGCTATCAATCATACCAAGAGCAAAGATGGCTTAGCTTCCTTTTCTTCAAAATATCTATTTGTACTGTAGAGTATTTTTGGTAACCCCAGTGCAGCAGGTATTTTTAATTAACTGATCACTGTTTTAAAATGGGAATTATCTTTTTTTAAAAAAATATGCTGGTGTTTTAGAAATATTATTGGGTAACTGATTGTTAAACAATATTTGAGAAATGCAGTCTGTCTTTTTTTCCCCAACATTATTGCTCTTCAGCACTGCAACATTGCTATGCCACAAGCTGCAGAAGCAGAAATTAAACAAGGGCTCCACATGGCTTTCATAACAGTCTTCCATAATATTTTTCTCATAACCAAGAAATCTCTAAATGTTTTCTCTCAAATTTGAACTAGTCAGTGTAGTATCCAACAATGTTAATTAAAAATTAACTAGTCAGCTTTGAGGGGTGGAGAAGTTTAATTATTGGCTTATTTTTCTCTGATATTGCTATACCACATTTCACTATCAAGGAAAGAGGAACTAGGCTAAGTAAATTGTAGATGACTAAGTGCCTCTTGTGTGGAGAAAGAGAAGCTTTAAAGAAAAAACTTTTTTTTTTAATAGCCCGTAAAAGAGTACAATAATGTTTTGCCAGTCTACTCTAGACAGGATGACACAACAATTCTATTTTATTGCAAGGAAAAAAAATCCACAAATCAGATGAGGCAACATGGAGGAGGACCTTACAATGCAACATTTCAGTTTCAGATAACTTTAATTGAAATATATCATTGAACTGCTGCATAATTTTGTGGGCAACATTTTGTAATTTTGAAATAGCTGTCTGAGTTGGCCTAGCAGCTATTCTCAGCCAGAATTTGGAGTGATTTGTGAAGAATTCCTAGCTTAAGGTGGTTCATTCCTAATCAAAACAAGAAGAGTTGTATAACTTCCATCCATCTGAAGAGGGTTCACAGTTCTTCAGTTTGTTTGTTCAGAGGTCTTGCTGAATATTGCCTTTTATCTACAGTAGCCAGTGCACTGAGACTTTAGAGAAGCGAGAATTCTCTGGGCTAGGAAGTGTAACACTTAGTTGGGAAACCACTTGTAGCTATAAAGAGGCAATATTGTGGGGACTCTTCAGTCAAGTGACATGAAAGTCTATCTTGAAGTAGCTTTTTCTGGCTCTAGAATAAATGCACAATAATTCATTCTTTAGCAGTTTTCAGTTTTACAAAGTGCTTTGTAATTGTACTTATTCACAACCATTTTCTGACTGAAGAAACCAATCCATTTGATTTGGTGTTTGATTTGGATAGGGAAATTCCAGATTACCACTTGGCATTTCAGCTGATGATCTTGGCCTAGTCAGTTTATTTACGTTGGCCTAATTTACCATGCAGGATTGTTATAAGGATAAAATGGGAACAACAATACGTAGGATACAAATGAAATAAAAAAAATAATGAGCATTCCCCCTTTGGGATTTTGCAGATTGCGTTCTTCAGAGCTTGTCTTCTGCCATTGAAAGGAATGTTGGCAAGAGTTATCTATTAATTTTCTATTAATAGAAAATTTTATTTATTTAAATTCTATTTATTCTAATCTATTAGTTTTCCTTAGTGTAGCTGTAGACAGATATTCTTAATGGAGTTAGCACTGGGCTTCCTCATTCATTGACATAAGAAATCATTATTCAGGTCTGACTCTTTCCCTGCTTTACGTATGCTGCCTCTATTTCTTTGTTTTCAAAGTCTGCTAGCTGCCAGTTTTTCTGACCAGTCACTATTGCATGACAATACTATGCCAAATGCAGCCATTTGTTTTAATATAATAAATGTAATAAATGCTTATTTTCCCAGCAAGCAAATAACTTACTCAGGTTCTTTACTGGCTTGGTAGTAGATAATACTGACCAAAAGTGACTTCTGTAGCAATATTTTTTGTGATTCCTTTCAACTTCCTATATAGAAAGGCAGAAAACATTTGAAAATAAAACACTGCAATGATGTCAGTATACTGGTGCTAAATAATCTGCAGAGTCCCAACTGAATTTATGGTATAGTGGTTCCAAGTTGTAGGTTGAGTAACACTGCATTATTTCAATTACTGTATTTTTCATAGTTGAATTTGTCTCAATTTTTTCTTCAGATAATTTGTATATATATTCTACTACAGAAAGTGACATATTTACTCTTGACTTTTTATTACTTCCTAAACATTAACAGTGTAGTCCTAGGTGGGTCAACTAAGAATTATTACAGTAAAAACAAAGTAGACAATATTTCCAAACATTTTAACAGAGCAATTCTGAGAGAATGCTGAATTTGTATACTACACTAAGCCAGCACACCAATCAAAACACATTGTGACTTAACATGGTGTGTGAATTCAGCAATGGATTTGAATTTATTGGACTCAGAGCCTTAGAAATATTAGTGGGTGTCCATAGGGGGATACATATGATGGCTCATGATGTAATTATGCAAATGCTGCAACTTATCTACTTGCAATAAATGTGACACAAATATGTAACTCTGTAATTTTAATGTCATAGCAGTTTGTTCTGGGTACCGCTGAATCTTAATGTACTGCAAGATATCTGCATTTGGTTGGCATGCTAGCTTCAGTTTAGTGTAATGCTTTTCAAATTTGGCAACTTAAGATGTGTGGACTTCAGCTCCCATAATTCCCCAGCCAGCATGAAGTCCACACATCTTAAATTTGCCAAGTTTGAAAACCACTGGTTTAGTGGGACATGGCAGAACTTGGCTTTTTTCCAGGCTTGTCTGCCACTTTCTATGCAGACATGAAGTTTTCACCTACATGTTTGTTTAATCAGTGACATGTGTTCCAAACTATAGTTAGCATTAACAATGGTAGAATAACCTGTTTCATGGAAATAAACGCTTCACAGTTTTTTCAGTCTGTGAAATAGAAGGCTAATCATTTATGTTTTGCTAAACCCCAGTTCAGTGTTAATCAGAGTGAAGTCAATGTCATAGTCTGGCCCATAGCCTAGAAATTACTACTGAGAAAAATGTTAAAGCACAACTATCTCTTGCAAGAGCATGTGAAATTCATTCTGCCTTTAGCACATACAACATGATTGCTTTGTTTATTTAGCTGTAAATAGATATCAAATCTAGGGAGTAATTAAGGTCAACAGTGTAATACAGGGCAGCTGGCCAGATTTTTTTTTTCATTTTTTTGGGGTGGGGAGGTGTTATCAATTGGTATCTGACAACAAAATCCAGAGGCCTTAGTTTAGACTCCTAATTGCACTGTATTTTCAGTAATAATGAATCTTTCTTCAAACAACATGTGGCCAATCAGATTGGAAAAGAGTGCCTTAGTTGCTATGGGCGCTTCTCTTCTGATGGTAGACTCCTAGCTTAGTTTAGGTGTTAATCATATATTTTTCTTTTTAGTCTGTGAAATTTCTGAGGCTAAAGATTCTTGATACATTTTCCAGCTGCATTTGTTAGGCATCAAGCTCCTAATGACAGTGAAGAAGGTAAACACTGCCTACCTTCTGACTACCCAGATATACAAATTATACTTCAGTTTTGGAAATAGCTAAGAAGTGATAAGGTTTTTTTCCCAACAGAGTGTGTCCTATAGAGTGGGAGGGCTGACATGGCTAAGAAGCTTGCAGGAAGAAATTGAAGAGGAAAAATTGCTAGCAAGCAAAGATGGACTAAAGCAGTCTTTGACTGCTGAAGAGAAGCAAGTTCCGGGGTATTCAAGACCGCCAAAGACTTAGCATAGGGACTGCTATTCAAGGAGGGTGATGCAGTATGGAATCTGGCTATTCCGGATAGATATCCAGGGGTAGAAGTGGAACCAAAGACACAAGAAATGGGATCCAGGTTTTGCTAACCATGAGATTGTCAGCTAAGTATAATTTAAGCCTCTGATTAACTCTTTGGGGAATTTAGTAACAGTTTAGGGAAGGCACACAAATATTTTAGCAGAGCAGTATAATTGCTGGCAGAGTGATGATTAACTTCCAGTTGTAGAGCAGTTGGATCAGAAAATAATGTATTACACTCAAATCTCCTTTGGGGCAAATGCCAGGAACAGAGAGAGAAACTGTTGTCTTTTCATCCTTGTTATGCTAAAAATTAAAAAATCTAAGTTTCACAAGAAAGTTCTTGTATGCTGTATTTTGTATAATCAATCCTGAGAACTCATGACACCCTTGTATGAAATGCTTGAATGCTTATTTTGAGTCCTTCCGATTATATATGCATTTAGGATTGCCAGAGAGAATTACAGGAGCAGGTAAAAACAATTATCAACTGGTTTTATATTGGCCATAAGTAGAGGTAACCCTAAATACATTATTTGAACCGTGTTGTTTTTGTTAACAGCTATCTGTGGGAATGGAATTTTTGCTCAGAGCACCAGAGGGTGACTCCCTGATGCCGTCCAAACAAAAATTCAGCATCCACTGCGGTAGTTACCACTGGTACTTTTTTTAAATGACAGCAATTCAAGTGATGCAATTGTTTTACTTTATTTTTGACTTCCTTGAGTTTACAGAGCTGTGCAGCCAAAACTCTTTTGAGGAAAATGATTATTTAAAAAATAAAACAATTTAAAATAATTCATATGGTCAGTTATAGCAAGGAAAAGATTCTCCAGAGTTTTTCAGGACTAGAAATTAATCACCTTGGCTAAGTTAGCACATTCTGAACCATAAACCAGCCAAACACTTTTTAGTCTATTATGTTGTATGAACCCAGGCCTAGTAAATTGTAAGTTGAATAGTTTAAGAGTTAACTGACACTGCTTTCCCTATTTTAAGTTTCATTTGCTTAGCATGTACTGTAAGTTAATTCATCTGGAATAAATACTAGACACCATAAAGTCCTTATTTCAGCTATCAGCATGCATTAAAAGTACGTTTTTCATTCCTTATCTATCCTGTGAGTACGATTTAAATTACAAGGCTCTGTTAAACAACAAAATGAAAATGAACAATCTAACTCCTCTAGGGAAGATGACAAGAGATTCACAGAGTTGGGAGAAACTGAAAAATCAAGATCAGCTGCTTGGTGCAGGCTGTCAGGCACACTGCTATCCAACATCTGCTTAAAGACCTCCAGTGAACATTCCACTTTACGCTGGTAACCAGCATAAATAGGACATTTCCACCCAATCCTAATCTGAATCTACTTCTCTGTAATTTCAACTCATTGGTTCTGGTTCTGCCCTCTGGGATGACATAGAACAAGTCCACTCCCTCCTCTATATGACAACTTTTTAGATACCTGAAGATTGCTATCACGTCTACCCTCAGTCTTCTTTTCTGCAGATGAAATATACCCAGTTCCTTTAACTGTTCCTTGCTTACTACTACTAAAAAAATTAGAATGTAGGAAATACTGCTCAGCCAATGAAAGGTTCAGACAGCTTCCCTGAATGTTCAGAGTTTTGGACTACACAACCTCCAATCCATTACCTTGCCCATGCTGGCTGGGACTAATGGGAGTTGTAGTCCCATTACCTTGCCCATGCTGGCTGGAACTAATGGGTTGTAGTCCCAAACATTTGGTTACTAGGTTAGGGAAGACTGGGTTGAGCTGCTTCTGTGCATCACCTTCAAAACTGACATGGCTGAGACACATGCCTTTGGGCATCCCAACCCTCAATAATCTATATTTATTTGTTTAAAAACATATAAAGCACTTTACACAAAAGACAGCATACAGACCAATAGACAATACAATATTAAAGCAACAAACACTATTAGTATAACTGAGAGGCACATTCAACCAGCTACAAACAATGATTTCAAGTTACAATGGCTGGAGAAATAAAACATGTTAAGAATACCATGTTGATGTCAACTGTACATCCACAGTGCACCGCAGAAAAGGATTCCATCACAAAGAAGGCCCTGTCTTAGATGTATGATGTATCTCTTTAGGTATGAAAGAGAAAGGTCTCATCTGAAGATAATACACAAGTAGATAAACATAGGAGAAATCACTCCTTCAGGTATTTGAATCTGAAACTTTGATTGAGCTTGGTAGCAAATTGACAGCTGGTGTAATTGGTATTAATATAGCTGCACCTAGTATTTTAGATGACATTCGAGCAGCCAAATTACACATAAGCTGAAGACAATCCATTAACATATGGTACTCTGGTAAAGAGAGGTAGATAAATACTTAATTGTGGGCTACATCAATCTGAGATGAGAAGATTTTTGCTCATGCAGTGCAGGATTCAATTCTTCTTTTCTGGGTTCTTTGTGCATTTCCCAAATCTGTTCCAGATACTCTCTGATCTCCAAAGCACATTTATTTATTTATTTAATCACATTTGTATAGCTACCATCTCACATAGTTGCTCTGGGCAGAGTAATCAAGAATATATACAAACCATTATAACCACCAATTTAAAAATTAGAATAAAAAACAAAAACAGAATTTGGTGACTATGTGAGAAGCTATAGGATCAGATCAGAGGGAGAATCCATTTCATTACTATGTCCATTCCGTTGTGGAAGGACAGAACCAGATACAACTTTGTATAACCACAATAGCAGCATTCATTTTAATGAAAAAGTAAACATTTTGGCCTCTTTCTACAGGAGCAGAAGTTATTTATTTGTTCTGTGGCTTTGGCAGCCCTTTTTTAAACAAAAGTTACTCCAAAGCCTTATTTTATTTTATTTATATATATAGGCTTGTTATGCACATTTCTTTGCCTTGCCTAAAATGTTCCAGTTCTCATATAAATTCAGAAAAGAACAGCAATTAAATGAATTGTGTTATTTTCAGAGAAAAGGAAACAGGAACTAGAAGATGGAAGAAAGCAGTTACCTAAACAAGTAGCCTGCTAAAGGAAAAAAGGACTAAGGCTTGCTCTTTAGTCTTCAGAAAGAAGAATTTATAAGGTACTTTGGGTTAAGCTCAGGCATGAGAGACAATCCAATGCTTCTACCTCACAAGTTTTCACAAGTCCCTTTCATTTATGGCAAGCCACCCTTATGGACAACTATGCTGAGTGCCATGGAGCTACTCAAGAGTGCCACAGAGACATTTACATGCCCTCTCTTTCAGCAAATTTTGGGCAGCACTGCTTTTTCTATTATTTGCCGTCAGACTGTCAGGGGAGGGAATCTATAACCTTCACTTGGCACAACTTGTGGTGAGGCCTTTCTACTACCCAATCTGCTGATGCTTTAAGATACTGCTCCCCATACCCAGTTTGGAGCAACTGTTCAAAACTACCTTTCTGCCTTTGTCTGCTCACATCAAAATCAAATGGGAACAAAAATGACCAACAGGGAAATCCAAGAATATTCTGACTGCCTTGTATGATACAGGCTGAGAACAGAAGATCAAGAAGATAATATGGTAGACACTGGAAGATGACTGGCGGGCAGATGAGATGACAGGAGCTGTAATGTCAATTCCGCTTCTTGTTATGTGATGTGGCTTCTACCTCCAGATACTGTAGCCCAATCAGCATCCCCAAGATGGAGAAACCTGAGAGATAGAAAATGAGTAAGAACAGAGAACATTAATGCAATAAAATCTCTTATATCTTAAAAAAGGCTAGTTGCATTTGGCTGTAGAAAACTCCAGGTTCAGTTTCCAGTATGACTCTAGAGAAATCATTATCACTCCACCTAACTAACTTCACAGGGTTGTTTGAGGCTGAAAATCCTGCTGTAAAACTTAGTGGGGGAAGTGTGGGGGAAAAAAACCGCTGGAAATAAACAAAATTCCAGGAACAGAAAATGATAAGCAGCTCAGTAATTACTTACTTGCCACCATTAGGGGTGCCAGGACACCAATCGTTGCAGCTGCTGTGCCATAAATAAACACCTCAGAGAGGAAGTGGCCCAGGGCAATGAAGAAGGTCAAAAGTGTGATGTTATAGAGGCTGTCAGAGAGTTCACAAAGAAAGGATTATTGTGTGCTACAGAGATGACACAAAGAGATCAGAGTCAGGAGAATCTGAAAGCAAATGAGTATGCTGTACCTTTGCATCTTTAGTCAGGCTTCTCTTGGAAACTAGAGAGATTACTGTACCCACTGTTGCTCGAAGGCACTTCTAGCATGTTGAATTAGTGCCCCTGCCATCCATAAGCACCACAGATAGTGTGCTGGTCTCTAGACAGATGAATAGGTTCAGCATAGCCTGAACTGAAAAGGGTACTAAAAACTTGTAAATGTTTGGAATTGCTTGGTCAAAGCAGGATAGATCTTAAAATGTGACATTTTGGCAGATAAAATTGTAGAGCGGTGCTCTATTACATCTTGTCTCTCTTGACTTCTAGAAACAAAGATTGTGCCTTATTACAGAATGCCAAGCCCCTTGCCTTCCTACTGCTGTAGCCAACTAAATAATAATAAAAAAAACCCACAACCACACTCTTTTACATGTATCCTTTTAGAAAACACTACAACTGATGGAAAATAGTTAATGTAATCAATATGCAGTATAGAACTATCAGTGGAAGAATATTAGTGGAAGAGGGAAATTACCCCTTACTGGATTAGATACCAGAATGTTAACCTTTGAACTTTTGATTTCAGAGTTCTAACCGGACACAAACTAGGGACCAATGCTATTAATCCTACACAAGTAGTCTACTAAGCAGTTCTTTCTTTATGCCTATTTTACTCTGTACAAGCACAAGCATATTGAGAAAATAACATTCCCCAAATACATAAAGAAGTTGAAAAAGAGTTCTGGATGACCAACCGCACTATGTCTGTAAGGAATAGAAAGTTTAATAAAGAGGGTTGGTAAGGAATTGTGCCTTTTACTATTTATTTTTAGTACTTATTTTACTTACGTCTTGTTGCGGATATCAATGGCACAGTAGCAGCGGACCACAGAAGATAACAAGGTCCAAATGCCGAAGGTTCGAGCTTGGAGACCATTTACTGAATAGAGAAAATAGAGAATTACAGCAACTTGTTTATGTATACATTTTCAAACAGAATTTAGCAATATACATAGGAGCCTGCAATACTCAATGGGTTTGGAAATTATTCTAAGGATCAAGGTTTTTCAATCTTGAAATGGAGCAGGGTAGAGAACGGATTGATATGGAAAATAAACTGCCTCCTGTCTGTGCCTGAAGCATTTGTTACAGTCTAACCTTTCTAAGGAAGGAGCAAGAGTAACTAAACCCATGCAATACATTTCTGGATAAAAGGAGACTAAACAATATTTAAGGCAAAAAAGTCATTTTAAGATTTGAATAAAAATTTCTTTGCAATATAGACAAAGTACAGATTCCATTTTTAGATTCCAGTGGCATCCAAGTGCAAACATGACACTTTACAAATCTTACCGAGGCTTGGCTTGCCTGTGTAGAGTTTCTCAGAAAGGAAACTGTGGTCTCTAAAGCTCTGCACTGTGTTCCCCACGGCAATAATGGACACCATAACCAGCCAGCTACGAAGTACGTTCAGGAACCGGCTCATCTTGGAAGCAGCAAGACACAATCTGCTCATGTGAGCAAATACAGAATCAAGAGTTTAAAATACCTCTCCTGCCTTAGTAAGCATGACTACAAAGTCTATGTCGCTCATGCTTTGCAGCATTTCCTCTTAAGGTGTATATAATTTCATGGAGCAGCCTGGCCAGGCCATTTAGCTGCAAATGAGAAGATGGGAGCTCCTCCATATTGCAGATATGAAACTATTTGGACTAACAATGGAAAACTATTTTAAGAGTGGCAGTAAAGTAGTATTTTTCAGTGTGCTTGAGGGAATAGTTAGCCCAAAGAGAGGACGGAGGAAAATCTGTTGTAAATGCAGTTTTTTTTTCAAGCAAAGCAAGTTTAGAAAAATAGGAAGACAGATTTCCCAGTAAATACATATAGCAGGCTTCTTCCTTCTAGTCCTTCCAGATGTAATGGGACTAAAGCTTCTAGAATTCCTAATCAGCATCTTATTGGCTAGTATTTCTGAGTTATAGTTCTATTGGATCTAGAGAACACCAGGTGGTAAGAACTAGTTGGTTAGGATTAAATTGAATCAATCATCTTGCATTAACTCCCATATTCTTTATACAGAAAAGGCAGCTAGTTGCTTACAAAACAAAAGAGCAACTCTTCTATAAACAGATTTAGCAACTGTACTGTCTAAGTAACTCCTCAACAAGGAGAGAGAGCTCGATTCTTTGTTCCCTTTCTCCCTTCCCTTATATAAAAGCATTCTCCACTCAGGATTCTATCTTGCCTACGGACCACTATCGAATGATGTGGAGAGCTGGAGGTCTGCACGTTCAGCCCCCATCCATCCGACTAGGGGAGTGAGCCCACAAGCACGCTGCTCTGCCTGCCCCCTGAAGCAGAGACCAACCTTACTGCATCGATCAGTCAGAAAAGCAACAACCGTAAGAAGCTTCCGTCGCCCTCCGCTTCTGAAAAATGCCCCGAGCAGGAAGGGGCGGAACAGCACATCCTGGCCTGATCGTTTGGTCAGGAGACTACAGTATCAGCCTTAACTGAGCTTATGGCTCCTCACGTTTTGGCCTTGAATAAGTTCGTTCTTCTCTTCCTATGTAATTTTCGATGGTATGTTAAACGGTGGGCCTCTTTCTCGTTTTGTGTGACGAAGGACTGGAAATGGAATCCTTCGTCACACAAATGGAATGGATTGCAAATGGATGAAGCAGTGATAACTACATAGAATTTTAGGAATGCTCTCCGAATGTCTCCTTGCTCCCCGCGATTTTTACAGTGCTAGCCATCTTGCCCTGCCACCTAATTCCTACCATGCACGTCGCACCCCTTTGTTATCCACATGCAAACCCCATCACCAACGGACATCCAGATCTTACTTCGCCCCACCTGATTTTCAGGCGTAGCAGGTTTGCAGCTCACTTCCCACTTAAGGAGCAGTAGCCCCGCCCCTTCTTAGTTTGCGTAATGATTGGTCCGCTGTCAGGCGTCGATTTTTCCTGGTTGGTCTCTGTGTCCTTCTCTAAACCGTCACATGGATGGTATAGCCGCTGTACCTATCAAATGCGCTGAATCCTTCTGAGGCATTATGACGTAGAATTCGAAGATGTGGGTGGAGGAACCTAGAGCATCTCTCTGGCTTCCCTTTTTTAAAAAGGGAATCTTGATGACGCCGTTTTAGAAGAGGCGAAAGAAGACGCACGGAAACATTGTGCGCATGCGTATGGAAAAGGGCACCGGCGGGAGCCGAGAATTGGCGCTTGCGCAAATGTGTCTCCAGTAAGGGAGGAGACGGTTGTCTGTTGGTTGTTGTAGTAACAGGAGAAGCGCCGGGAAGAGGAATCGTGACTGCCGGGCCCCAAAGGAGATGAAGCAGCAGGTATGGCGCTGAGCGGAGTTTAGGAACAATGGCTTTGCTGCATGCATGAAGCTTGCTTGGACAAGAAGTTGAGCCTCGCAGGTGGAAGGTAGCGTTTCTTCCATGGTCAGAGGTGACCGGCATCCACGGGATGGAGGAGGCTGTCGTAAAAGCGGCGGGGAGGGGGGCATCCGCGGACCGGCCGCAAAGTTGGCGGAATTCAAACACTGCTTTCCAAATGCCCCCTGCGGGGATGAAACCAGGTCCCGGAGCTGCTTTCCGGCACAATTCCCGATCCCTTCTTCCTCAAGACCCTCGGAGTGCGATTCCCATGAAAGGGGAAAAGCGAGTCCTCCGGCAGAGACTGGCGACTCTTCCCGCTGAGAGGCAGTGCCGTCCTCCAGCGCAGTCCCAGCCCCTCCGTGTCTCGCTTGAGTTTCTTTGCCAGAGTTCTGCAAGAAAAGTTTTGATTTGCGAACCGACTTTATGCAGTGATGCTTGAACGAGAGAAGTGTTTGCAGGTAGCTGTTGAACCCTCAGAAAAAGTAACCCCAGGAGTCACAGTAAGGGAAGACAGTGTGCAAAACATGGTACTGTAGTTGAATATCATTGAACTAGACTTTTGATATTGGGAGTTTTGAGGTATGGGGACCTGCCTAATGCACAGACGATTGATGGAGCCCAGCAAAGGCTTTTAAGATCCCTTAGCAATAACGCTTTCTGATACTGTACTCTTTAGACTCGTGTTTACATAATCCTATTTCATGCAGTGGGTCAAGTGCATGAGTTATTATATGCTTTTGATCTATGGGTATATTTGATTGTCATATTATGGCTGGATGATATATTTGAATCAAATTAGCTAAGAGGGTGGCAGGCTTAATTCACCATTCAGTGCCAAATATAAAGTGAGATGTTATATTCTTATGCAGCAAGAAAGTGGATGGGAAGAGAATGTGGAATCTTTTCTCTATCTTTTTCTCTGCTGGTTCTCCCACTTGCGTTTCCTCTCAACTGCTTTGCTCCTAACAAGAATCCTAGAAGAATGGTTGGGGGAAGGAAGTTGATTGACTCTTACTATTCACTACTTCCCTACACCATTCCTGATCTAATTATTAAAATAATACATTGATGACTTATGGTTGAATTAAAATCCAGAATACAGTGTCTGGAAACTGTATGTGGCATTCTAAAAGAAGCTTGGTTATCGTATATCTCCAGTTTACTCTGATGAACTGAATTTTCATTTTCTTCATAGAATAGAGCACTGGTTAGATTTTCTGATTCTACAGCGAAAATATTAAGGGTTCATTGTTTCTGGGCTGTGTGAAAACATACACAGGACATGCCAGTTGGAATGGCTCGGGACTTGGAAGAAACGGGCTCATCTTCAGAGGAAGAGGAAGAAATGGAAGGGCCAGAGTAAGTTAAAACATATAATAATTGCATATTATGTAAAAGTTACCATGGAAATTTGGAAGCGTAAGTCTAGTGTTCTTTAAAAATGGACCATGAAGGCCTGAAGGACTAATTTCTGTTACAAATATGGAATGGTAGATGAGTTATAAGTGTGAGTGTTAAGTGTGTAGCTTCATGTCTGATGATCCTTATTCTGCTGTGGGCATTCAGTCAAAATTAGTGAGGATTGACTGGATCCTTAGGATGAGGGTTTGCACATAAGGCATGTTCCTAGTTACCCTAGGTAACCATATGCCTTTAATGATCTTTGTAGAGTAAGCACTAAGATCTGCAGGTAGTTTTAAGTGTGTTGAATCAAACACATATACAGGGCTCCTGATCTCTGGAAAGTTGATAAATGCACATTTGAGCAAGTTGCACTTATTTTGCAGACTTCAGCCCCAATCTGAAGACCCATAGAGGAGCTAGACACTTGAAGATTTTAGGGGCAAGATTTGTGTGCATACTGTTGATCTCACTGCATTTTTATCACATGTGTGCAGGCTACTTTTCCTTGTAATTCTTGTAATTCTGGAAGTAGGAAGATGAGTTACAAGGGAATGTAAATGTGACCATTATGTAAATTTATGAAGCTGTCTTTGATCACATTACCCATTCATCTAGGTCAGAATTTAGATTCTTCATGATCTCAAGCAGAGGTCTTTCATATCATCCATTTGATCCTTTAGGTGGGAATTAAGCCTGGTGCCTTTTATGTGCAAAACATACATTCTGTTGTTTGAATTGTGGTCCCTGTTGAAAAGTTGTCCTTTCCTATCTCTGAAGGTTGCTTCTTATCTTACTTTCATATTGAGTCTTTATTTACAATGAGTCTACTTCTTGTTCTCCTTCAGGAAGCTATGATTATAAGCCTAAGTTTACTAATAAGACTTGGTTTACCAGATTCTTCTTTTTTTAAAATTTTCATCAGTTCTCTCCTACCTATTACTTTGTCTTGCCATAGAAAATTGGCAATATGTCCTTCATTTATTCTGTAGTTTGACCAAGGTAGGAATCAGTATGAAAACTTTTACAATTTTATATTCAAATTGGAGAACAAATGAGATAATACAGATAATAGAAGGGGCTCTTTAGGGCATTGGGTTTAATCCTCTACTCAATACAGGAATCCAAATTAAAGCATCCCTGACAGATGGCAGTTTTCTCCTCACTTGAACATCTTCAGTGAAGGGGAGACTGTTGCTTCTTTGGATAACTACTTCTACTGTTGAACTACTCTGTTATAAAACTCTTGAACTTCTGAATGACGTATTTCAAGGTATTTAAAATACACCCTTTCACAGTCTTCTCTTCTCAAGGTTAACCTTCAATCTCTCTTCATAGGATTTACTTTCTAGTCCACTAATCAACTTGATCTGGTTTCTCTGAGTCCTTAAGATGTAATGCCCAGAACTGGTTACCATACTTGAAAGGTAGTCTAGCCAACATAGAATAAAATTAATTATTTTTTCCTGCAGTTTGGAAACTGAACTCTTGATGCAGCCTAAAATTGCATTTGCCTTGTTTGCAGCTACATCATATGAAAAACAATAAATTCCACTATAAAAATATATTATTAAATACTTGAAGGCATTATTAATTTTAAAAACTTAAAATGCACAGCTAGAGAATGTTACAGGCCAGTTGGAAATGAAAACAATGTGTTTTCAAAGTCGTCTTAAAGGCCATGGCATTCCTCTGTATCCCATTGGGGAGTGAGCAAACAACTTGCTAATCAGAATGTCATGATTTCATCTTTGCTGAGATCAAGATATATTGCATCTGTACAATTCTTACTGAAGTTATCCAATAAAAAAAAAAGAGATAATGTTAGTGTGGCAAGACTAGAACTTGACAAATCCACACTGACCTCTGGTGATTTTTGCATTGTTTTCAAGGTCTTACAGATAAATTGCTTTAGGATTTGTTCTAGAATCTTTTGGGGCATCAATGCTATACTGACTCATTGGTAATTTCTTGAATTCTCTTTATTCTTCTTTTTGAATATAAGGACAACAGTTCTCCTCCTCCAGTTGTTTGGTACAGTGTTATATTGGATTCTTAAAAACAATACGTAAAAGCTCAGCAAAACTATCAGCACATTTCTTCTGTATCCTAGGATGGAATTCAACTAGCTCTGGAAATTTAAGCTTACTCAAAGAGGTATTCTCTGACTATGTTTCTATTAGTCTCAAGCTTCAGTCCTACTTATTCATCCTGCTCTTCATAATTACCTAGTGGGACACTACCATCTTATTGGAGAAAACTGAGCCAAAATGAGAGTTACATAATTCTGTCTTTTCTTGGTTACCCTTTAACATTTTCCATCTTTACTGAGCAATAGCTGTATTTTGGTTTTTTCTGCCTATTATTTTGAACTTACATATCTGAAAGGAAGTTCTTTTTGTTTTTGATGCCAACCTCCTTTTGCAACCTCAGTTCATTTTATCTTTTCTGATATCATTTCTGTAGCTGAGAACTATATGTATTCTGCCTTGATAACCTGACCCTTTTTTTATTGCTTATGTGTGACTTTTTCTGTCAAATCTTTGCTAAGCTTTACGTACAGTCCTCTTGACTTCTTTTGCTGTCTTCCTGTTTTTTTTCTTCAATGAAATTGTTAACAATCTTTTATCTCAGTTTCTGGGGAAGTTCACTTGAATTAGTAAGCATAGATCAGTGGATATTGCTGCTTTTTCATAAACTATGATATTTGTGGATAAGCTGCAACCATGATACCCATTATCTGGTATCATACAAACCCAGAAAAGAGTAAATAAGAACATATCTTGGTCTATTTATTTTCAGGTTGTGTATTAACCTAAGTTTAAAGCCTACTGTTTGTAGATTTTCTCCCTTTCATGTTAGTAGATAGACACTCTCAATACTTCATATATGGATACCATAGCCCTTCTTTCTATGATCCCAGTTGGTCTAAAGTGGACATTCTGAGCTCTTACACCTTATTGCTCAGAGACATTATTTATTCATTATTGAAAGACTAAGATCTTGGCCTTTGTTGTGACGCTACTTAAACACAAAAGGTAAAGTCCTACTGAAGACATTAGGCTCTTTGAATAACTGGATGTCTTTTTTATCATGGAAAATTAAAGTTAAAAAGATGCAGCAGGAAGTGCTCAAAGGAGTACAGCTGCAACTTTCCCTTTTTCTGCTCTAATGGCAGTCAGTATAACCCTTCTTCATTAAAAGTGTTCAAGATATAATAAAGATTGACCTGCTATATGATTCCCAGGAATGTGCCTGCAGACATTTGTTCTGCTTGAAGTAGTTCCATCCAAATTTTTCAGAACTTTCTTTACAGTTCCTTGTGGATCTAATGCAATATAAGCTCCAGATTTGATGTATTTATTTAATATTTGGCTTAATACTTTTTTTCCAGCTGGTCTGGCTTCTTTGCTGGACCATTTCTGATCTGTTTGAAAGATATTATTTTATAGAGCAGAAATGTGTTTGGGAACCATACTCATATCCTTCTTTGTATTCCAATTTCCTTACCTTTGGGGACCTTAGAATGAGTTTTGCATTTTCATGTTATCTTTTAAAGATTTTAGCCCTTGATCAGCAAAGAGTTCACAGTAGCCCATTTTAATGTTCTGTGATCAGGATTGCTTGAAGGCAGATTGAAAAATATTATGTGTTCACAGATCATACGTGCCCTTTTGGATCAGGCAAGGTAAAGATACTGAGAAATGTTTTTTTGCATCATTCATAATAAAGCAATATCCATTCTATTGATGTTTTAGTAAATATACGAAACAGGTTCAGTAAATTCTGCGTATCATTTTTGTCAGACTGGATTGTAGCAGTTCCTGAAGAAATGGACAAGTTTTGTGCCGTAGCTTGCCAACAAGTTATGAGTTCTTTTGTTTAGCTTGTTAGTAAATTTTTATTCTGTATCAGTTGATACAGATATTCTGTATCAGATATTTATATTGTCTATATTCTGTAAATTTCTTATTTTGTTTTATATTTTGTATTGACTAATGTAATAATAAAATTGGTCTATATTTAGTTGATATTGAGCATGGTTCTGTTGCAACTCTGATTTCTCAGAATCAAACCTGCTCAGGGCCTCACCCTAACCCTCCTTTGGATCAGGGTATAGTATTACAACATTTAATTGATAATTATACTACCAAACCTCATTTTTCATTATATGCTGTGTTCATCAATTTTAAATTCATGTTTGATTCAGTTTCAAGAGAAGAGCCATGGAATAAAGTTAAAAGCTCTTCTACTGACATATGAAAATTACTTCTGCTCTCTAGGCTAAGTCAGGTGTATTGTTTTAGGTCATAAATGACAAAAGAAATCCCTGTGAGGGTAGGTGGCTAGGGTTGTATATTGGCCCCTCCACTTTTCTACTGTTATATAGACTCACTAGTGTCGTCCCCAAGACTTGCAAATAGACATGTATTGGTGCTACTGTAGGCCAACTACGCAGTATTACTGTCCCTGATGCCAGTATGCATGAGAAGAGCTTTGTGCTCCCTTGCCTTGTAAAGAGGAAGCCTTGGAGATTAAGTACTGTAAGATTAAGATCCTTATGCTCTCCAAATGCTCCAAGGTAAATGCAAAGCATTGTGTGCAAATATGTTACTGCAGTATTGCCTGTGATATGTGATGTTTCAAGAAAAGGTGGGTTTAGATGTGTAGTCACATGCACAAAAATGCTATAACATCTTTGAATGGGCTGAGAGAATTTTTTAGCAGAGTATCCTATATTGAAAATACATAATGAAGTTTAAGCAGCTTGCTTCATGTATATTAATTTATATATCATATATATGACTCTGGGAGATGTTAAAATATTGTTAAACTGCATGTAGCCATAATGTACATATTTACATGTTGTTTTTAAAGTAATCATACCCTTAAACATAAATATATAAATATAAATATTTTATATTTTGATTTATTGATAAAATTACTGACATCAATAAATGTTCAAATTCTTAGCTCCTTATTTAACATCTATCTGAATTTTCACTATGTTATGTTATATTTTATGACAATCAGGTGTTATGATTTTTTTCTCTAGTCGTATATTTAATAATTTCCTTTCCCTCTATAACATTATAGTTTGGTTTGATACCAACGTTTGGGAGCACTCTGGAGGCCCAATCCAAGCATTTTAGGAGCTGTAAGACACTTGTGTCATAAATAATAATAAACTAAGCTGTTATTTTCAGGAATGATTGATTACCTGTAAGCTTATGTATTGACTTACATATAAAATACTTTTCCTTCTTTAAGATCTAGAACACTTATTTGCCCTGATACTGATACAAGGTTCAGTTACAATTATTGCCTTATTAGTGTTCTATGATTCTACTATGGCAGTTTTACAGTTGTCTCATTTCAACCACCTTATCATGCCTTGTTCTAAGCGGGCCCTCAGCCTCTTATGTAGGAAAATTGGGGCTTACTTCCCAATGAAATAAAAGTAAGAGATACGTCATTTTTTTAAAAAAATGGGTACTTATAGGATTTGTTTGTTTGGCACTCATGCCTTAGTCACTTCCCATTTGGATTACTGCAATGAGCTTTACATGGGGTGCCCCTGAAGACCACTCAGAAGTTACAACTGGTCCAGAATTCAACGGCGTGCACAGTATTGGGTGTTCCTAGGTTCACCCACATTACACCTTTATTGCATGAGCAGCACTGGCTCCCAGTTTCCTTCTGGTGAAATTCAAGGTGCTGGTTATCACCTTTAATGCCCTACATGTCAGAGGACCTGGTTATTTGCGGGACCACCTCTCCCTAAGAATATCTGCCTGTCCTACCAGATCAGATAGGGTAGGCATGCTCCAGATCTCTTCCCTGAAATCCTACCATCTATTGGGACCTTGGAAACGTGCTTTTTCTTGTCTGCCCCTACATCTTTTCATCTTTTCCCCCCTGCCCCATTTGACAGGCCCTCACTCGTTTAGCCTTTTGGAAGGCCAACAAGACCTGGCTTTTTACCCAGGCGCTGGGATAGGATAGGATAGAATAGATAGAATGGAAAGAGGGTAATTGGAGCTTGCTGTGGGTAGGTTTTTGTTTTTGTTTTTGTTTTTGTTTTGATCGTTTTATTGTTTTATGGTTATGTTTTATAGTTACTGGGTTTTATTGCTGTTGTGAGCCACCCAGAATTGTTTAAGATAGGTGGCCATACAAATCTTTTAAATAAATAAATAAATTTTGGAAGGATAGTGTTATTTATATGATATTTGCAGATATATGGTAGAACTAAGCTGTGGCTCTGAAATAATTGTATTCTACCCTGGCCCTTAAATGTTTTTTGAAACATCTATATAAACACTTGTATCTCTGTTATTCAGGTCCCCCTTTATACTTTTTTTCTGCCCCATTTCTGAAGGGAGTACTAGGTTGCATATATTTTTGCATAAATAGAAACTTAGGATTGCACACACTGTATTGTCCTGAATCATGCATTGCTTTTGGCCCGGGGTTGTGGAGAGGTGAAGATAAGGTGAGGGAAGCTTGTTTCTATCTCTTAAATATCTTGTAGGCTTGTTCTGGTAATAGGATAACTGTGGAAGATGCTGGATAAAAATGAATTCCATATTTTTGCACATTTGAGCTTCAAGTATGTTCATGTAACAAAGGAAATAACTAGTAGTTTATAAGATAGAATTTTCCTTAGCTCTCTTCTGCCTCTGCTTCTGTGCATATTGTGAATCTTCAACAAGCAATCCACCAACTTTCCAGACTCGGTCTTAGATGGGTGGAAGATAAGAGGAGGATGAATCTCTTCCTCTGGAGCAGCAGTTTTAGCTAATGTAGTGGTACATGACTTACAGCACCTCTGGTGCAGCCACCAGAGATCTCCAAAAGTTACTATCAAATTGTAGTTTTCAGTTTTTGATATTAAGAGAAAAAATGTCAAGTACACATAGAGAGTAGGTAATATATAAATTAAATTAAAATTATATAACTATAAATGAAATGAAATTTAACTGTGTCTTGGCCCCATACTTTATTTTATGCTGTATATCCCCATTCAAGTGAAATGTTGTGTATCTTTCACTTAATGAAAACCAATATGCAAAAATATATATGTTACAAAGACAGATTAGTTGATATATATGAATGTCCTTTTATACTATTCCACTTTTTTCATTGCTTTCTTTTCCATTACTTTGGCTTAAATGATTTTTTTGCTACATGCTGTCTGGGCAAATGCCAGCATTTCTGCATTGGGGTGAGGCTTAACAGTAGCCCAGCAACATGATGCTTGCTGAGGCGTTGCTGTAGTATAGGTTGCCACAATACATTCAGAGATTCTGTCCTGATTTACAAAGAATTACGTGAAGAAAATGTAAGTGTCTGTCTTTTACCATTACTCTAATGCTATGTTAAAAAAACTAAAACTAAAACTATCTTTCCCAGACAAGAATTCTTAGTGTCTTGGATCAAGTAAAAGAAATTTCTTAAAATAAATCTCGGTAATTAAAAATAGTGCCTGAAATGAGCTTGTGCACATATAATTAGCTTAATTATTTCTTATCTGTTAAAAATGTTTTGTTGTTTTAGGGAGCACCCGTGTATCATGTGGACAGGTGGATTCAGGAGGATTCCAATCATGGTGTTTCATGCTGAAGCTATTCTAACCAAGGACAGTTACATCCGCTTGATTGGAGGTAAATCTAGTTTTTCTCAAGTACCTACATTGCCTAGAGTAGGCAAAATGAAATTATTGAAGGACGGGTTTTACCTGGCATACTAATAATCTGTTTCTTTGTTTTACAAAGAGTTTTTTGATATATTGAACTAGAGTCATCAAGTATTTTCAAATATAAATGGGTTATAATTTTTTAAAATTAAAAACCTGCCATAGTTTTTACGATTTCTTTAAGAGGAGCATTTTTAAAGCATATTCTTGATGTAACCATTGAAGATGATAAGACCTAAAAATGTAGTCGTTTGTCTAGGTGCTTGTAAGAGTTAAGTGAACTTCGTTTCTTATATTATATTAAACTGAAAAGTAGTTGACTTTGAATTTAAGGTAACCAAAGGAAAAGAAAATATATGTGTATGCATGTATATATCTGCTACAAGCCATAATTTAAAAGGCACAGGAACTGGATACATCTTTAATATAATTGAATAATTAATGTATCCTTATCTGCATTTATGTGAACAGGGAACCTTCTCTCCCAGTGAAACAAACAAATGTACACACATAAGGGAAGACTGAGACATTGCTCTGCAGCTCTCATGTAGAACAGAATAAATGAGAAAGCGTTATGTTCTGTGGAAATCTCTCCCTTTTTGCAATTGGTGAAATAGATTATATCTGGATTTCTGTGAAAAATCTGTATTGTTCTGTTCACAGAGCGCTATCGCTTGTCTTTTAAAATTGTGAGAACAGACAGTCGCCTGGTGCGCAGCATTCTGTCAGCTCATGGATTTCGGGAGGTATGTGCATCAATTTTTGCGAGTTTCGACAGACTGAAATTAAATCTGTTTTCACTGCTTTTACAGCCAAAAGATCTCTATAGATCAGAGCCCAGAGTAAACTGAAGACAATTAAAATGGGCAAAAGGTGTTTTCTCCTTTCATTTGGTGTCTTTCTAGCATTGTAATGCTAGAAATTATATTTCTTTCTCTTATATGATGTGTATGAGAGAGATTTTGCTTGAAGTTCTTGGAGCGTATGAATTTGGTGCACCTTATAGCATTTCTGAAGAAGCTCAATTTGTAGATATGACTGTATATATCTTAGTTCTGGAAAGAGTCTGTGCAGTCTATTACAAGTATAGAATAAATAATAAACATAAAATAAACCTGTAACAATTGTAAATGTTCATAAGTGGGTAATATTTTTTCTGGACTAGAAGTCAGGTTGTCCCTACTTTTTAATAGTCATTTATTTTAATACAGTTATTTGGATCCAGTGGTATTCTACTGGTTGATGTGGCTTTTCTGGTAATGTTCTTTTTAATAATTTCCATTCCTTTGGAGGGGAGACCCTTCAGAGCACATTTGAGATGTGAATAGGGAAAGGAAGGTGACAAGTCCTGTTGCATAAGTGAAATTGGGCTCTCTTAACTTTAGATGCCGTCTAGTGTATAGATTCTGAGGTAATAAAATGTTATTCAGCTGGTTACCTATTAAAGTGTTCAACCATATCTTTTCCCAAGGTGCATCCCAGCAGCAATGAATATAATCTTATGTGGACAGGGTCACATTTAAAACCCTATGTTCTGCGAACCCTCACAGATATTCAAAAAGTCAATCACTTTCCCAGGTAAGAAGTGGAGGTATAATGATAACATTATGATACAGAACAGAGACGAACAACCTGCAGCCCTAGAATCGCATGTAGCTCTCAGAGCTCCTCCAGACATTTGGTGCTAAAAAAGAATCGTCAGTATCAAGGAAAAGCTTATTACGAACGTGGAGAACAATCATATTCACTGTATTTAAATACATTAACATAAATTTAAGTTTTATTCCTGCCCGATTCACTCTTTGGAGAGTGATACTCTGCACACAAGTTGCACATTGATACAGAAGATTGTGAAGGTGTTGTGTGGACTGTTTTATTGATATCTTGTTAATAATGAATTACTATTTTATTATTCAGCCTGTCTCATAAATAATAATTAAAATGAAATGTTTTATATTTATATTTCCCATTCTTCCAAGTGCCTAGCTTTATTCTAAGAGTTCAGTAAAAACATAGATATATGGATAAATCGTTAAATTAAAAACAAAAAGCAAAAGAGCTTTATTGAGGCTTTTGCTTCTGCTAATATTTCTTATTGCTTAAAATTGGTAAGTCTTAATGACATCTCTGTATAATTTTCTTATGGTTCAGGGCAGACTGCATGTGTGGGTAACTGAAGATGTGGGTGTGGCCAGAACAGAACAAATTAACAAAAAGTTTATTCCCTCAATCGTTTCCTGTCTTATCTAGTGCCAGAGCTACTTAAATTTACCTTTAATTTAGCCAGTGAAAATTGGTAGTAGAGGTTACTACAAAAGAATTTTGGGAGGCTGCAAGTTGTTTTCCCTGCACAAACAACTCTACAAATTTGGCATATTCATGTCCCTGAAGGTAGCAAGAGGGGCTGGTGGCATATAAATGTAATAAATAAAATAAATAAATAGATGTATGCATGAACCTAGAGATTTATTCACGAAGCATGGCAGCATTCTGTACTTCAGTAAGATACTTCACTGTTGCTATTGATGGCTCTGAGCTTGAGAAGGCATCTGCCTATTGCCAGGTTGTGCATTTGTTCTCTTCAGGTGGGTGGTTTGGAGGCATTTGACAAGGCAGTGAGCCATTAGACATAAGATGATGAGAGAGACAGAGGTTGGATAAAAAATGTGAGTGAGGGATAGTGAAGATTCTGAGAGTAACAATGCGGCCATCAGCATTGAATCCAAGATTGTCTTGGAAATATTGTAATCCATGACTGAAAAAGATTGTCCATTTCTATTTAGAGGTGCCTTCAGTTGAGGGAACAGAACTGATTAGGAAGGGTCTGCAGAGCTGCATGTTGTATATAGGGTTTCAGTAGCAAAATGATTACAATGCCATGTTAGGGCATCATATGTTTCACAAAGCTTGTGAATGAAACACACAGTAAAACTTTGACTTGAAGGACCATTTTTGGAGAAAGGATGTCTGTTAAATTCCAAACTGTGAAATCTGAAGTTATGTAATTGATGTAATGGTCCACATTTGCGTAATTACATAATCAGTGTTTCAGAGTAACTCTGTCATCAATTTATATCATTTGCATGGTGTAAATTGATGCAAATTACTTTAAATTGTCCAGAGTGCTTTGGAAACAATAGACTTTGCCTGTTTTGTGGGGTGAAATCTGAAGTAAAATTTTGTCAGTTGCATCCAAAGTCTGCAGAATGGAAATCAGGAGAATTAAAGTTTAACTGTAATGGCGAATTCTTAAAAACCTCACAAACAAGGTGACACCAGCAAATTATATCTACATGGCTTTAGGTCATATGAACTAACTCGGAAGGATAGGCTATACAAGAACATTAGTCGAATGCAGCAGATTTATGGATTCAAGACCTTCCATGTTTTGCCTCAGACCTTTATCCTTCCAGCTGAATATCAGGAGTTTTACAGTAAGTCTATGACTTGGATTACTATTTCTTAAGTAAAGATGGAATTGAATGGGAAATTTTCTTTCCATGATGTTTCTATACTTTAATCCAGTGTATTCCCTCCTGGGAAAATACTTTTTTTAATCCTCAGGTCCTGTCCTGTAAACTGTAGTTGGGTTTTTTTTACCTGAGAAAAACAAGAATGAAAAACTTCTCTAAGTTTAAGTACTGTATGTGTTCAAAATGAAGACAAATCATGCCCTGCAATAAACTACCTGGGGTCATCTAATATCTGTCAAATTGAACCTTAATGAGAGGGAGTCCCGGAATAGAGAATGTCCTTTTACCATGGACTCTTCACATTTTTCTAGAGTGCTCCCTGTTAGTGAAACAAGGAGAGGGTGGATTGGACTAGCATGCTCTTGCTCTTCTCTTCCTCAAACCAGAATAGTCAGTTGCAGGATTTCATAGTAACAGAATCAGAACTGAAATCCTAAATATTCTTACTTGGGAATAAAAATGGTCATACTCAGTGAAACTTATCATAATGTAAATAGATAAATAGTAATGCTTACTGAGCCTAGGAAAATGCTTGTTGAGCTTCTTAGTTTTCTTTTACTCCCTCCTTTCCTTTTTGAAATACCTTACTTTCAGGTAAATATGGCATTTTGCACATACTGAGGAAAGTGGATTAGGTTCTAAACCTTGATATCTTGAAATACGAACTATTTGGCTGTTGCAAAGGGTGCATGCCAGAGTTCTGTGCCATCTCCAGATTCCAAAACCTTTTATGCATGTCTGTGTCTATGACTAGATTCTGAGTATGAAATATGTAATTTTTTAAAAAGAACCTCATCACTATTTTAGCTATTGACAAAGGTTGATTGGTAAACAAGGTTGATTGATAAACACTAATAAACTAAACTGAAAATCTCAAGTATTACTGGCACAAGTTATCATTGTCTGATGACATTTTTTACAGAAAATTTAATACTGAAGTATGTATTTGTCCTTTTTATTCTTTCTCAACCAGATTCTTATTCAAAGGATAGGGGACCTTGGATAGTAAAACCCGTGGCTTCTTCTAGGGGACGTGGTGTCTATTTGATCAACAATGTAAGCATTAAGAAATCTGACAACTTCAAAATATGGCAAGTTTGATGACTCACTGGCACCTCTGACTATATTCAGTAAAATATTTTTCTCTGTCAAAATATGCTTAGACTGCTAGAAGTAGAAACTAATGTAGTGTAGGTTTGAATCAGTTTACTGTTCTGTCACTTGCTTAAATCCACAGTAAAAATATAGTCTTGACAAAAGGAAATGGATGGCTACTCCCATTTTTACCAGAGATTTAAGCCTGCTTAACTCCGAATAAGGGTTTCTAACAGTAGTTTTTTGAACAAAGCATAATGGCCTGACTCATACTTAATGTTAAGCCACAATAGGTGATTTTGTACATTACACTAAACTAAAAAGCAAATAACTCACAGTATGGCTTCGTGTGGTACGGGAACCAAGCCATTACACTTTTACATTACAAGGAAGTCAGGTATACAACATACAAGCTGAGAATGAGACTGGTGTGTGAATCTTTTTAACATATAGATGTATTATCTCAGAAGTTTATGAAAACACATTCAGGGAGGTATTCAATGAGTAGGAGTGGCTAGAGGAAAGTCTCTCAAAGTTAAAGAAACCATTATGCTCAAATGGTTGCATTCATATGAAGTTTGTATGTTTATCTTATAAGTGGTATGGAGTGGGCAACTGGTTTCTTTAGTCAGTCTAGTAGGATAGTATTTTGCAAAATAAATTCAGTCACATTAGAATATTGTGGTGGATTTAGGTATATAATATAGTAATGTAACTGTGACTCCAACTAGACTCTTCACACAACTAAAAAGCAAAAATGTTACACTGTGTATCTATCCTGAAGCTAGTCAGATAAGTATTCCTGGAATGGCACAGCATAAAATTCAATTGTGAGTCACTACTTTCAGTCATATCTTCCCTTCTCCCCCCTCCCCCCACTCCATATTGAAGGGGACAGTTTGCCTCATCTGTTCTCAACCTGGCTATTTCCCATGGAATAAAGGAACTGCTGGCCAAGTGAGTGAAGCAAATCTTTCCAAAGCTGGACAAGATCTGCTTCAAGAAAAAGTAATATGTGAACAAAAGGTCAGAACCTGGAAAAAGTTCTCAACCCATTTTCCACCTAGGATTGCTAAATTCACAAATCTGTCATATCTGTTCCATGTAGGGAGCACTTGCTAACATTCTTAAAGGAAGCTTACTTAATTTTCTGTAGTTGGGGAATGTTTTGTGTACGTATGTCATACTTGCTAAAAACAAACTTCTCTGACTGCAGTTAACGTGACCTATTGTTGCACACAGTTCTTGGAATGATGACTGCTGCAATAGAAAATCACATTTGATCCAACTTTTTCATATTACCATTAGAACCATATACAGTATATGTTTCACAAAGCCAGCTGGGTGACCATGGGCCAGTCACTCTCTCTCAGCCCTAGGAAGAAGGCAGTGGCAAACCACTTTTGAAATCTTGCCAAGAAAACTGCAGGAACTAGTTCAGGCAGTTACAGGAGTAAACACTGACTCAATAGCAGGCAGGCAGGCAGGAAGGAAGGAAGGAAGGAGGAAAAAAGATACTGCTGTTCTCAGATTTTTCCATATATAATCTGTAGTTTATGCATATTACACATGTGAATTCTCTAGACTATATTACATTAATTTGGATCCACATCAATGTATGTATGATGGTGCTGGTAGAAACTGTTTTGTCAGTGAGGAAAGGGCCCATCCTTTTCTTCTCTATTATAATTCTGTGCATGATATCTTGGATGCTTTTGCTTTTAAGAGAACAATATCATAATTACCTTGTTTGGTAGATAAAATATTAGGGTTCACCATAGACTTTATTAATAAGTATTCATGGGAAGGTGACAGGGGCAAAGTCACTTAGTGAAATCAGCATTCAGCTGTTCAGTTCTTCACTCCAATGTGCCATCTATCTCATCCTGTAGCCAAATCAGATTTCCCTCGAGGAAAACATCCTGGTCTCCCGTTATATCAACAACCCACTGCTCATAGATGGTGAGTTAATACTGGAATTTAGGTTTTTTTTAGAAGTTTGAAGATAGTTGGGAGTGAGCTAATGAATCATAAGAAAGAAGTTCTGTTTCCTATTGTGTTGTTATTGTGGCAAATGCTGTATAATTGTCCTCCAAGCTCAGGAAATATTTCTGTTCAGTGGTACTTGGCCATTAAATGGTCCTTAAAAATTTCTAATTCTGCACACCATCCTTAAGTAGGTTCAGCTTTCTGAATAATTTCTGGCAACTAATTATGGTTGTGTCTGTTTTTAGACTTCAAATTTGATGTGCGGCTTTATGTTTTGGTGACATCCTATGATCCCCTTGTCATCTATCTCTATGAAGAAGGGTTGGCTCGGTAAGTCTTGATTTTTTATTTTATGCTGTGTAAGGTGAATAGCTTACCACATAAAGTGGCAGAGTGGGAGTCATATATGTTAGGAATAGCAAGAGGCTGGTTGGTCATCTTACAGTTCTTCCAAACTTTTGAAAACTGAAAATTATGAAGAATAATTTCCCAATATGTTAGTAGTTCTTACTTTGAGTTACTCTTCTCAATCTTCCACGCCAGCTCAGAGAATTTAACTCTGTAAATGTTTAGTCACTGGTCTTCAGTGGTGGAGACATTTTGAATATATGTGTATTAAGTATATTTTCCTGTCCTTGGCTTCTGCTGACAGTAGCTAATGTTAAAGTTTCTTTGCTTGCTGATATTTTTGCATTTCCTAAATTTCATAGAATTATAGAAGTAAGAATTGAAAGGGACCCTGGAGATCAAGTAGTCTGCTACTTCCACACCTTAGACAGATGACCATCTAGCTTCTGTTTCAACATCTCCATCCCAAAGCAGTCTATTCTGTTGTTGGGCAACTCTTACAATTAAGAGATTTTTCCTGATCAAAATCTGCTTCCTTGTCACTTACAACAATTGTTTCCTGTCATATAGAACAACTCTAACAGTTTTGCCCCATCTTCTACATGATAGCCCTTTAGCTATCAAGGTATCCCTTTACCTATCATGTTTCCCTGTTGCCTTTTCTCCTGGCTAAACAATTGCAGTGCTTCCAGCTGTTCTTCATAAATTGTTCCTTTCAGACTATTTATCTTCTTGCTTACTGTTTTCTGGACATACTTCCTTTCTAAAATGGACTCCTTGTATCTGGACACAATGTTCTAGGTGTGGTCTGCCCAGTGCAGAATAGAGGGTAATGATGACTTCTCTTGATCTTCATACTATACTTGGATAGGATCACATTTGAATATTCAGTTTGTGATAGACCAAAACACCTAGAACCTTTTCAAATGTAGCTGTGCCAGGCATGGTTCCCCTCCTTCCTTCCCATCAATCCTATACATATGACTGTGTTTTTTCCTACTGAAATGTAGGAACTTGTATTTGTCCCTTTTGAAATTAATCTTGCTGGCTTATGCTCTTTGTTCCAGATTGTAAAGGTCCTCCTGAATCTTGATATTCTTCTCTAGGAAGTTGGCTATCCCTGCTATGTCTGTAGCATATGCAAATTTGATAAACTTTTCTAACTCACCATCCATAGATATATTAAACAGCACAGAGCCTAGAATGGATCCCTACAGTATACCATTTGACACTTCCTTCCAGCTTAATATAGAGCTGTTGACGATACTTGTTATGACTCTTCATTCAGTTCTGATAGCATAGATAGTCCACATTTTGTCATCTTCACTATTAGTATTTCATGGAAGACCCTACCATGTGCTTTGCTGAGTTCAAGGTACTGTGTCTGCTGCATTCCCATGGTCAGCTGAACTGTTCATTTTGTAAAAAAGGAGATTAGGTTGATTTGGAATGATTTATTCTTGATAAACCCCTGCTGGCTTCTGCCAAGCAATGCATTCATTTCTATATGCTCACATACCAATTGCTTAATAATTAGTTTCAGAGTTTTGCCCGGTAACAGCATCAGCCTGAGTAGTCTATAGTTACCCAAGTCCTCTTTATTGCCCCTTTTGATGACAGGAACAACATTTACAATTTGCCTTTCTTTAATCTTGTGGATTGTGTCCATTTTCCATACTTTCTCAAAAACTATAATAGCTTTGAGATGATATCTGCAAGTTCCTTCAAGATTCTTGCATGTAATTGGTATGGTCCTGCAAATTTAACTTGTTCCTGGTAGCCAGGTGCTCCCTAGCCATTTCTTTATTTACCTTGGGTTGCCTCTTCTGTGCCAGTTGTTTTGCTTCAGTCCATTTGCCTTCAGTTCCCCTTTGAGGAGAAAACCAAAACAAGGTAGGAGTTGAGGAGTTATACCTCTGTCACTGCCCTCATCTTTTTCAAGCTGTGGGCCCATCCTTCCTTTTTCTGTTATTAGTGTTATAGACAAAGAAAAGCACTTTTTGCTGCTTTTAGCTTTTCTTGTGAGCCTAAATTCCTTTTGAGCTTTACTTCCTTTTTGACTTCCTTTCTTTAGGTAATAGCTATTTGTTGGTACACTTTGTTGGTGATTACATTCATCTTTATTTCTTGTATATCTTCCTTTTAACTCCGTTCAGTCAAAATTCTCTAAGTATCCACGATGGTTTCCAAAGCTTCCCCCAAATCACTTTTTTCCTCATTGTAAGGGTTTATGATTGTTCTCTCAGTATCTTATTTTTTAGAATTCCTGAACATTTCTGTGCTTCCTTTGACTTGAGGATTTCTACCAATGGGATCCTGCCTGGTTCTTTTCTAAGCTTGTTGAAATTGGCTGTCCTAGTGTGCATATACAACTATATTTTAGTTTCTCTTTCAGTAATATCTTGAACTTCAGGATTATGTGATCACATCTTCCCAGGGTACCCATTGCTTTTTCCTTTTCAATGAGCTGATCCCCTTGTTTCTTCTTCAGATCTTCTGGAAAATGAAAGAGCAAGGTTTTTTGGGATCTTGCAGTCTTGGCTGAGTTGGTTTACTAATAGATATCCAGGTAGTCTCCCAACATGACAATATTACTTATGTCAATATGTCTTCTCCCTGAAAATTCTGTGATCTGGGCCAGGAAAGCATTATCCTGGTTTTTTGCCAGTCCTGGCAGGATGTAGCATACCTCACAATTCTATCATTGTTTTCCCTTCTTTCTGTTCTTACCCAAATGCTCCTGACTGGATTCTCATGCTTGATTACCTACATCTCAGTACATGCATGCACTTTCTTCACATATAATGCTACTCCTCCTTCTCTTTTATCTGATCTGTTGCATTTGAACAGGTTGTACCCTTCAGTCCTTACTTTCCGCACATGAGTTTTGTCATGCCAGGTTTCAGTAATGCCTGCTAAATCATATTTGCCTTCCTGCCTTCCTTCCTTTTAGTTCTTCCTATTTTCTTCCTATACTCTGTGCATTTGTGTAGATGCTTCACAAATCGCCCCCATACTATACAAATATTGCTATTCTCTCACACATATATGTTTATCAGACTCGGGAGTTTAAACCTTAAATTGGGACAGAAAGATAATAATCTTATTGCTCTGAATTTAAGAAGAAGCTGTGAACTAATTCTAACTGTTGCCTATTGTTCACTTAGGGGAAATAATTTAAAGGTCTCATATATTGTCTTGGTCCTTTAGAGATAAGAACTGATAATATAAAGCGAATGGTTCATTTGTGATAAAGTTGTTTTGTCCCCACACCCTCTATAAAAGTTAGTAGATAATTTCAAAGAGTTGCCATATACTGTATGTGCTGCAAAAATCCAGATGACCATTTGATGGCAACAAAAAGAAACATTAAACCCTAACACTTTGCTGCCATCTAGCAGTTGTCCTGATTTTTGTAACTCAAATATGGTCACCCGACCATTACACGTGAAGCAGGATTCGTCACTAATGCAGGTGGTATGTGACCCCACCCGAGAGGAGACAAGCTCCTATGGTGGTAGTGGGGAATTGGCATTTTTTT